ACAAAACTGTTAATGGTTGGTTTTCATGCATAAAGTGTTCCAGTTCCATGTCCTCCCCCAGAATGTCTGCTGCTAACCCTTACCATTGTCCCCGTGTCCTCCTGGTCCCCCAGTCCTATCCCCCTAACCTTCCACGGGGATAGCCTCACTTCTGTAGAACAGATTCCAGTTTCTGTTGCCTTTGAGCATTTATTTCCTTACTAAGTTTCTTTATATCTCACATAGAAGAAAGATTGTTCTGTATCTGTCCCTCTCCTGAATCGTTATTTGTTTAATTTATTCATTTTTAGATTTTTTTCTTTTTGGGTAAAACCTGGCGATGCTCAGGGGTTACTCCTGGCTTTGTACGCAGGAATTACTCCTGGCGGTGCTCAGGGGACCACATGGGATGCTGGGAATCGAACCCAGGTCAGCCACGTGCAAGGCAAACGCCCTTCCCGCTGTGCTATCGCTCCAGCCCCTTATTTTTAGAGTTAGGTATCTTCTATCCTTCTCCACCATTCAGTTTAGCCCACTTTTTTTTTTTCCCAACTGTATTATACTGTAGCTAGCCCAGGCTTTCTTTGGGGGAGTTGGTGATGTGGGGGCTTCCCCACTGTGCTCAGGAGTCATGCTGTGTTGGGAGGCGGGGTGAGGACTATGGGGTGCCAGTGACAGAACCCAGTCTCCTACATCCAAGCATGCCCTCAGCCCTCTGAGCCATCTCTGCAGCCTCACAGAACGTTTCATTTTTGTTTGTTTTGGGGCCACACCTGGCGATGCTCAGGGCATAGTCCTGGCTCTGCATTCAGGCATTACTCCTGAAAGTGTTCAGGGGACCATACGGGATGCTGGGGCTCAAACGCAGGTCAGTCATGTGCTAGGCAAGTGCCCAGTCCTCTGTACTATTGCTCAGACCTCACAGTGGATTTCTTAACTAAATCCTGTTCCCTCACATCACTCAAATTTTTCACAGCTATGAGTAAACCTGCTAAATCACCAACACTATATATTCCTTCCTTCTTGGCCCTTCTATTTGTGATATTATTTCTGAAGTTTTCCTCTAGCCTAATCTAAGAAGATACTGCAGCACTGTCACTGAAGCACTGTCCTCCCATTGTTCATTGATTTGCTCATAACATCTCCATTGTGAGACTTGTTACTGTTTTTGGCATATCGAATACACCATGGGGAGCTTGCCAAACTCTGCCGTGTGAGTGAGATACTCTCGGTAGCTTGCTGGGCTCTCCGAGAGGGACGGAGGAATTGAAACCAGGTTGGCCGCATGCAAGGCAAACGCCCCAGCCACTGGGCTATCGCTCCAGCTCAAGAAGATACTACTCGCCTATAAATGATTCTTGTCCCAACTGTATATTAGAATGACCAAGGGGCTATTACCTACTGCTGCTTAGTCTTCATCTTAGGGTTCTGATTCAACTGCTGGGGTCTGGTCCAGTGGCCAGTGTTAGGAAACAAGAAAAATCCCTCCAGGTTGCTATAATATGCAAGCCAAATTGCCAACTCTCCCTTACAGAGGAAAAGAACCATTCTGCTATGTTCACTGAACTTCTGTTCTGGATCTGTGAGATTTGCAAGCCAGAGGCTTACTAGCATGTTTATCTCACAGCTCAGACTGAGGAATGTGACAAAGAGAGTGTTGGTGTCTGCCACTATATATACCCAGTTCCTGACCAAGGGCTGGCCTCTGAAACTCAGTTCAGGCTGAGATTCGTGCGTTTATACAACAGCCAGGGGTGGTGTGACTGTGAATATGGAAAGTGTTAAGCGGGAGACCCAGAGAACCCATGTGAGAAAGGCCTCATCCTGGAACTAAGGGTTGATGACTCTGTTCTGACTCTAAAAATGAATGTGTGTCCTGCAAGGGCCCCCTGCTCTTTCTATATGCAGTGCTGTGTATTTTGGTACATAGCCCAGTCCTACGCCTCCACCCCCTCGTATATAAACTAGCCTGTCAGACTGGGCCAGACAACATGACTCAGAGAAGAATGACCACAACTTTGATTTCTTGTCCCACTAGCCAAACTAGGTTTCTAAGAAATTTTAGCAGCCTTGGTAGCCCTCAGTCTCTTTAAAGCCAACCAGACACCTTCAACCTCCAATCAGCAGGGCTTGGTTGCTGAAAATGAAATAATCACATAAGGAGACAAACACGTAAGGACTGTCTATGCTTTAGGTTTTCCTGGCTGGTCATTTTGCTCTCCCACCCAGATCTCAACACGTGAGTTATAGTTGAATTTGATAGAGACATTAAGCATAGTTAGTAAGCACATCAAAAATTCAGCGGGTACATTAAGAGCAGACTGGGATATTTCACATGTCCAATCAACAGGCACTCTTAAAGTCATGACAGTTTCCTATTCTGTTTTTGCCTATGTTGCTTTCTACATCTGGAAGACCCTGAGCTCATTTATTCTGTGCTTTCCTGGACACATTGTGTATATATATATATAAAATATGTGTATTATATAAATATGTGTGTGTGTGTGTGTGTGTGTGTGTGTGTGATGGCTGTTAATGCACCTAAATGGCACCCAGAGGCAGTTTTCAGTCACTGGTCCTGCATACCTGGGCTTTTCAGTGGATTCATTCTCATGCGTGGGGGCCTTGGCATGAGCCTGTGAAGGTCAGCCGTGTGCATGACGATGACTGGGTTCTGGAGGTTTGTGGCTGCCAGGATCCTCCTCCCTGTTGAATGCATCCCTCTACCATAGAGAGATGCTGCCCCATCCCTGTCCCCTCCCTCTTCAGGTGGCATGTTTCCTACTGAATACCAGTTCTCATGTCCTTTGTTTCCATTGTCTTTGGGCTCTCATTGTTCCCCCACTGGGTTTTCTTATGCCCCGCATATGAGAGAGATCATTCTGTGTCAGTCTCTCCCACTCTGACTACCTTCACTCAGCATGATACTCACTCTCCAGGTTCTTCCATGTAACAACAAGTTGCATGCTTTTTTTTAAGTTTGTTTTGTTTATTATTTTGTTTTGGAGACCATATCTGGTGCTTACTCCTGACTCTGTGTGCTTAGGGAGTTAACCCACATGCAAGGCAGGCATCCTACCCACTATACTATCTCTCCAGCTCCGTTTAAAAAAGAAATGTTTTTTGTTGTTTGTTTGTTTTTTTAACTAAAGTTACATTGTCTGGGACAATTGAATCACTCAATTGAGTTTAGGTGGGAAGAGGATAAGAGGGTGGAGTGTACACTGGTGAAGGATGTGGTATTGGAATTATGCACAAGAAACCATTATCAATTGTAATATAACCTCAGAATCTCAATAATTTTTTAAAAACGTTGATCACTTATAACAGCTTCAGATATGCAACATGAAGCAAATGTTTATACTGTGTATTAAGCTCATCATTAACACTTCAGTTATATCCTTAATTTAGTGATGTTGGAAATTGTCAAGAACATTTTCCACTTTCATTCAAAATTGTTGACTTTTTGAATAGCCAGAGGGATAGCAAAAATTTACTTTTTCTTCAGAATAGATTTAATATTTTTGTTTGTTTTATAAACAAATAATTCAGAATGTATTTTGTTGAATGGTCCAGTGTTGAGGTTATGCATGAGATACTTAACTGTTAAGTAATGCCTTAAATGAAAGTATCACTCGTTCATCCCTGCATTATGTATATACTGAGCACATTCTCTGACAGGGTAACGTTTTCACCCAAGTTGACCAATATATCGCATTCAGATATGTAGCCAAAAACAATGAAAGGGTTGCTAGATAAATACGTAATGTGGAAGAGAGATGTTTGAAGACAGATGGGTGAAGGCAGGCTTGGTGCAGGACAACTGATAGAGTGATTATTGGAGGCTTTCCTGAGAAAGGGATGTTCGGGCAGGGTCCTGTGATTTGGAGTATACAGCTGTCCCTGGCATGTTCTGGGCAATGACAGTGGCAAGTCCAAAGGGTCTGAACCCTGGTGAGTGACAGGAACATCAGAGGAACAGAGTGAAGAGCATGTAGTAGCTGAGAGAGGGGAGCAAACAATAGGCAGTGAAGTAGGAGATACAGGCTGTGGATTAAAAGGACATGGCGGAGCCGGGGTGAGAGCATAGCAGGGAGGGTGTTTGCCTTGTAAGCAGCCAACCTAGGTTCGATTCCCAGCATCCCATATGGTCCCCTGAGCACCGCCAGGGGTAATTCCTGAGTGTAGAGCCACGAGTAACCCCTGAGCATTGCCGGGTGTGACTCCAAAAGGCAAAAGCTAAAAAATTAGAAAATAAAGGGACATGGAAAGCCTCTGGTGTTTGAGGTTGGCTGGAAACAAGTGCTTTGCTTTCTCGGATCACTGTTTAGAATATTATTACCAGTTCATACTTAAGACATAAGGTACATGTAAATTAACTAGTTTTATTAAGAGCATCCTGGGATATTAGACTATTGTAGGAAGAGCAGAGAAATCTGTGGCACTATTGTGTGGGCAGTGGCTGAGAACATATGGACCAGGTCAAGAGGGGAAGGACAACTTTTTTTTTTTTTTTTTTTTGCCTTTTGGGTCATACCCAGCAATGCTCAGGGGTTACTCTTGGCTGTGCACTTACTGTTACTCCTGGCAGTGCTTGGGGGGCCATATGGGATGCTGGGGATCAAACCCGGGTCGGCCGTATGCAAGGCAGACACCCTACCCACTGTACTATTGCTCAGGCCCCAGGACACTTCTTTTTAAACTTGTTCTTTCATAACGTTTGGGTTTTTATTGTGTGTATAATTTTTTTCGGAAGCTTATTTATAAGAATACCCTGCATGTATTGGGAATTGATTTTTACAGAAGCAGTATACCTGATGTGTTAATGAAAACGCAAAGGGACTTTGAGCCGGTTCATCCACAGAGCAAATTTGATCAATGTTTAGAGGCTCATCAGCTTTTGGATTTCTCTGAAATCCAACATTGATACTTAAGACAAGTGATACTTAAGACAAGCTTTGTTTCCACAGAAAAAAATTGTATTTTTCTATTCAAATTATATTTCTCACTCTTTTTCCTAGGCAACAGAAATAGACACCAAAATTAAAGTGTGTACCCGGGCCTACCATCTCCTTGTGAAAAAACTGGGCTTTAATCCAAATGACATCATCTTTGACCCTAATATCCTCACCATTGGTACTGGAATGGAAGAACATAACTTGTATGCTGTTAATTTTATCCAGGCAACGAAAGTCATTAAAGTAAGTATGGATGGGTACTTTCTCTCTCTCTCTCTCTCTCTCTCTCTCTCTCTCTCTAGCTTTTTGGGTCACACCCAGTGATGCACAGCGGTTACTTCTGGCTCTGCACTCAAGAATTACTCCTGGCAGTACTCAGGAGACCGTATGGGATGCTGGGAATCGAACCTGGGTCAGCTGCGTGCAAGGCAAACGCCCTCCCTGCTGTGCTATTGCTCCAGCCCCTGGGTACTTTCTCTCTTCCACTCAAAATATTGCTCAAATTCTTCACATGACTCCAGTGAATAATTGGAGATAACAGATTTTTATTGTGTGGGTATGTTAACATTCTTGTTCATAGTAGTAAATCGACTTTCTGAAATTTAGGACTTTATTGTTTTTATTATTTTTCTATTAGTTTTCTTTTATATATTATTTTAGGTTGTGAAGTATGACACACACCGAAGAAAATGAAAATTCATTTTGAAACGTAATAGCTTTCACTAAGGTCTTGAAATGGAACTTGTTTAGAGCCTCCATTTCTTTCTCTTTCTGATTACTTATTATACTGTCCCTCATTCTAAATTTGTTGGCAGTGGTCATTAGCCTGTTTCATTAATATCACTTTGTTGCTTTACCTAACAGTTGTCACTACATACATGTGTGGTCAATGCTTTTTTTTTTTTTTAAAGACTTTGAGCTACAGCCAGGGGTGTGCAGTGTGCAGGGCTTACTCCTGGCTCTGCACTCAGGGACCATTCCTGGCAGGACTCAGGGGACCATAGTGGTACTTGGGTAGGTTGCATATAAGGCAAGCGCCCTACCCTCTATACTATTACTATTACTCTAGTTGCAGAACATGGATTTTTATAGTTGTGAATTAACTTGTAGCTCTGTAGCACTGTCCTCAAGTTGATCATCAATTTTCTTGAGAAGACACCAGTAACATCTCCATTGTGAGACTTGTTACTGTTTTTGGCATATTGAATACGTCATGGGTAGCTTGTCAGGCTTTGCCGTATAGGCAGGATACTCTTGGTAGCTTGCCGTGCTCGCTGAGAGGGGCAGAGGAATTGAACCCGGGTCGGCCATGTGCAAGACAAACGCCCTACCCACTGTGCTGTCACTCCGGCCCATGAGTTAACCTGTTCACTAAAATTTGTGGCCCCCTCCCCCACCCTTTTAGTATTCACTCTGTCCATTGTTTTCAGTCTATTAATAGGCATCTTTTTATGGTTGATAGAGTGTCATATTATTCACATTTTTCAGAATTTTCTTCCTGATTTTTATTTCAGTGACCTCCCATAATAGTGCTGAAGAGCTGTCTGTGGTTACTAAAGTGTAAGAAAATGGTGATTACTTATTACTTTTATTACTTATAGAGGAAATAGTTGTGTTAAAAAATTAATTTTTGACATGTGTTACACAACTGTTGTCTGTGAGTTCAAAGTTAATTAGCCAATAATATATATTAAACAAGTTATCACTAAAACAAGGGGTTTGGGCACTCCTGGAAATATATCCCAGAGAGGCAAAAAAGTATAGTCGAAGTGACATCTGCACTTGTTTGTTCATTGCAGCACTCTTTACAATAGCCAGAATCTGGAAAAAACCCAAGTGCCCGATAACAGATGACTGGTTAAAGAAACTTCTGTACATTTACACAATGGAGTACTATGTAGCTGTTAGAAAAGATGAAGTCATGAAATTTACATACAAGTGGTACTACATGGAAAGTATCATGTTAAGCAAAATGACTCAGAAAGAAAGGGATAGACATAGAAAGATTGCATTCATCTGGGGAACATAAAGTAACAAAATAGGAGACTAACACCCAAAAGTGGCCGAGATTAGTACCAGGAATTTTGCTCCATGGCTTATAGTCCAGCCACACATGCTAGGGGAAAAAGGAGCTCAGATAGAGAAGGGAGCACCAAATAAAGGGTGTTGGGAGGATCCTCCCAGGACGGGAGAAGCATGCTGAAAGTAGACTATAGACCAAACATGATTGCCACCCATTGCCTCTTTTGCAAACCACAACACCCAAAAGGAGAGAATAAAAGGGAATGCCCTGCCACAGAGGCAGGGTGGGATGGGGGGGATGAGGGGTGGGAGGGATACTGGGATCTATGGTGGTGGGAAATGGGCACTGGTGGAGGGATGGGTATTTGGTCATTGTATAATTGAAATCCAAGCACGAAATTTGTAAGTCTACAACTGTACCTCATGGTGTCTCACTAATAAAAATTAAAAAATTAAAAATAAATAAATAAAAAATAAAATGATGACTAAAAAAAGGGGGGGTTGGGGAGAGGGGGGTGGTGCTCCCCTGGTAATTCTTGTCCAATCAGTTCACCGCATAGGCCCAAGCATGTGATGCTGTGCAGAATGGCCTAGTTGTGCTGGGGCTCTACAGAGCATACCTGGCAGTGCTCAGTGGTCCATTCAGTGCCAGGAATTGAGTCTGGGTCTAGAGCTTGCTAGAACTGTGCCCTAACCACTGTACTATCATTTAGCCCCCAAGTAAGGTTTTTAAACAAGATTTTATATTGATTAATTGCTTTAAAAATGTTGTGCCCAGAGGTTGAAACCTAGGTTGAAAATCCTCCTCAAGCAAGGATTTTCAGCATTCCCTGCTTTGGTCTTCCTGGTGACTTTATAAACAATAATCACCACAAATAACAATAATGAGTTGTATCAACAATATGATTTCTTTTTCTTGCTTTTAAGCTTACTACAATTTGAGTTTTAAGGTTCTTTTTATTTCCTTACCCAACCTAATTTTCAACTTTGCCTGGGTTGCAGCTGTACTTTGTTCACTGTAATGAATGTATAACACTCCATTATAGAACTTTACCATATTAGCTCTTTTCCTACCGGTAGACATTTTTTTTTTTTGTTTCCAGTTGGGGGCATTATGAGTCCTGCTGCCGAGAATATTATTGTATATATAACTTTGTGTGCGTGCGCATGAGTTCCTCCATAGCTCATATGTGGAAGTGGGATGTCATAGTGGTCTAGAATGGCAGAGACACCCTAAGTGCTTGAATTTGTTCTTTCACTGACAGTAAGAGTTCCTCTTGGTGCATCTGTAGCCACTGCTTGAGGATTTTTTTTTTTCTTTTTTTGGTCATACCTGGCGATGCACTGGGTTTACTCCAGGAATTACTGGTGGTGCTCAGGGGACTATATGGGATGCTGGGAATCAAACCTGTGTCGGCCGCATGCAAGGCAAACACCCTACCAGCTATGCTCTCTTTCCAGCCCCCAGTGCTTGAGGATATTAACTATTAGGTGTGGTGGGAACTTCAGCTTCCTTTTGTCCTTCTGTAATTGACCAAGTTTACAGAGAATTTAAGGGAGTTGGTTCATTTAGATTCAAGATTCAAGTTCCCAAATGTATTTGGCCTACTGATCCCCTTTTCAAAAAAAGAAATTACCCAGCATCTGTTTGTAAGTCTTTCCATGTACAAACAGAAAGCACAGAAGAAACTTCCCCCATAGAAGAAGTATCCCTCACTCTTCCCTCTCTACCCCCTACATATAAGTAACGTACCTGAAACTGCTACTATGGACAAGGCTCCCCAGGCTCCCAGTAGTTGATTCCAGTACCTGGAGGCCAGGGTGGAATCACTCACTTTGACAATCACTAGTTTAGACCAGGACACCTGGTTGTGGAGGCCTTCTTGTACTTTGCGCTCCAACAAATGACATACTCTTTTCTCTTAGTTTGTGTATGTCTAACGTCATTGCTTTCTCTTTTGGAGGGACTGGAGCAGAGGGGGGGATGTTATTCCGGGCTCTGCACTCAGGAATTACTCCAGGCTATGCTCAGGGAGCCATATGGGATGCTGGGACTGAACCCAGGTTGTGTGCATGCAAGGCAACGCCTTACCTGTTATAAGGCTTGCTATTGCTCCAGCCCTGCTCTCTCTCTTTTTCATTCATTTATCGAGAAAATATTTTTTCGTGATACTTTAACCATACATTGTGCCCCATCATGGTCACTCTAGAGGAATGCCGAGACAGAGTAGAATGTGAAAAATTCCTCTAGGGAGATTCGATCTGATGGCAAAGACCATTTGTGAATCAGTGCCTCTGTGATGCCACATTATGGTAAGATTTGATCTCTAGCTGCAAAAAGCCCTGAATCATTTCAAACTTCTAAACTATTTTTACTTTCCAGTCTTGTATAAAGCTCAAGAGATATGATCATTGCGTTTGGCAACAAAAGAGAATCTCTTCACATTTTAACATGTCTTGTTAGGAAACATTACCTGGAGCCAAAATAAGTGGAGGTCTTTCCAACTTGTCCTTCTCCTTCCGAGGGATGGAAGCTATTCGAGAAGCAATGCATGGAGTTTTCCTGTATCATGCTATCAAGGTATGGTAGAAAGATATCTTTGTCCCGTTGAAATCAACTTTGACTTGGGGCAGGGGTTTGGAAATGTTGGCCTGCAGACTAACTCGAACCTGCTTCCAGTTTCTGTAAATAAAGTTTTATTGAAACAAGACTATACACTCTCACTTACATTGTTTACATCTGCTTATATGCTATAGCAAGCAGAGTTGCATTTTCGACAGAAATTATGGTCTGAAATATTTTCTCTCTGGACCTTTATGAAAAATTTTTGCTGACTTATGATTTGGTATCAGAAATTTAGGATCAGAACTTTTTCAGCTGGGTCAGAGAAATAGTACAGCTGGTAAAGTATTTGCTTTTTATGTAATGGACCCAGATTTGATCCCTGGCACTACATATGGTCCCCTGAGCAATGTCATGGATGATTCTTGAGTACAGAGCCAGGAGTAAACCCTGAACACTGCTGGGTATGACTCCAACAAAACAAAACAAAATGAAATAAAATGGTTTTAGCTTTTTGAAAAATCCTCACTTTCCTTCTTATTACACTTAGTTTGGTATGGACATGGGAATAGTGAATGCTGGAAATCTCCCGGTATATGATGATATCCATAAGGAACTTCTCCAGCTGTGTGAAGATCTCATCTGGAATAAGGATCCTGAAGCCACTGAGAAGCTCTTACGTTATGCTCAGGTAGAGGGAATGCTCTTACAAATGGTTTCTTCTGTGTTTGAATGTATTGATCACTTATAGTTGCGTAACATTCACTGTAGAATAGACACAAGTAATTCATCCTCTCATTGGATCCCTGAGGATTTCTGTAGAATTCCAGAGAAAGTATTTTAATTACTAGAAAAGAGAGATAGGCCATACCCAGCTGCTTCAGTATTCTGAATTTAGGTTTCTTTAAATATATATTTAAATGTATAGTTAATTTTTATTATATTGAAGTAACACTTATTAGTTTTAGAAAATTTGCAAATACAGGTAAGCTGAAAAGAAAATAGTTAATAGGACTTATTAACCAAAGATAATCGTAGTTGAAATTATATTGTAATTCTCAAGTAGTGTTTTTTTGTTTATGTTGTAATGAATATTTTCATATAAATTTTGTACATTAATAAATGGAGCTATACTGTGGATACTCTTTTGATAACCTGCTTATTTAGCAGTATACTGGGAACATCTTTCTGTTTTATTTAGATGTTTATCTCATTTATTTCGTCAGTGGAATGGCTATTTAGGATTTTCTTTTGTTGTTTCTTTGGTGTTCTTAGCTTTGTTTTTTTGCATTCCACCCTGCTATTTCAATATTGGAATGATTTCCATATCAGAATCTTAATCTGGCAGAAGTACCAGTTTATCTTTTCTATCAGAGTACTGAAATGTGCTGCAAGAAGGAAAATTTAGGATTTCATTGTATCCTTATTTATCAACCTTCTGAGTGGAAAGAGTTAGATTTTAAAACAGTTCATTTAGTCTTACACTTAGCCAAGCTGATCTGAGTTTGGACTCTGCCCCAGTAAGCACGTGACCCTCTCTCAGTTCCCTAGAATACATTTCTGAGTTCTGCTGTGAACCCAGGACAGTGTTTAAGGCAAGTTCTGCTTCTGAGCTCACTGCATTGGCAACATTTTCTTTTTTGACTCCATTTATTGCTTCTGCTCCTGAAGACAAAGTGCTTCACCTTTCCACTGTTTGAACATTAAGACCATGAATGTGGAACTCCACTCACTTTTCAGTCTGTCTTTCCCTATGGGAGGGGCTCCTCCATGAATAGCCCTTAGATGAGGGTTCTGTAGGAAGTCTGAAGGACATTTTCTATGGTCCTCTATAATCATGCAGTTATTCTAGAGCTTTCTCAGTCATTCCTAAAAGAATATGATGTCCTGTTTTTTTTCTCCCTGGTTCAGATGAGATAGCTTTCTTACTAAAAAAAGACAGGACTCCTTATTTATGAGATGACATTCATTTAATGTTGGTTTGACTTCATGTTTTATGTCAGTCTATCTTTTCTGGATTCTCTTTGAGTATTTGTTGACAATTTTTTTTTGTTTCTGTTTATGATGCTGAGCTGCTAAGAGTTTTTGCATAAGGTTTATAGCTGAGCTGAGAGAAAACTTAATTGCAAATGCAAGAACTTAACAATCCATCATGTAAGAAATTGCTTCCCTCTCAATGTAACCCAAATTTTTATTACAAGCCATTGACCCTTTGTCAAGTAGGCTAACTGTCTACTTTCAAGGTGACTTCTGGTACCACAATAAGGGAATTAATAACCAAAACAGATATGCTTTAATAATTCCCAGGAGTTTTCAGTGCTATAGTAGTTCCTCACTATATACCAGGTGCAAATGGTGCATAAAAAGAAGGAATTTCACGAGGCAAATAAGAATTGAGGAATCTTTTTCTTCAAAGAAAGTGGTTATCTTTTTGCTACTAAGGAATGAATTCTGCATCCAAGTTTTCTTTTTTCTTTTGAATGGAATTATTGTTATCATCTAGGTAACACTGTTCTTAACTGCATGCAAGTTCTTGTCTGATTATTGGAAAGGGTAGAGAAAGAGCAATCTGCGGGCTTAGATTTTTAACTCTACTTCATGGGGAGCAATGGGTGTTATTGAAAAATAACTCCTTTGATTTGACGCAGAGTAACCTGTGGTGGATAAATTATTTTTGGTAATAAAATCTTCCAGGTGTTAGGTTGGGATATTAGCTTAAAGAACTTGAAATGCACGCCTGGCTTGGTAATGCCCTGTGTTTGATTCCTGGTACCACATGGTCCCCCACATCATTGGGCTAGTTCTGGTGGTCCATGGCACTGCTGGCCTGAGTAGCACTGCTTGAGAGATACCCTCACTCTCCCCCCAAATTTCCAGATCATATTCCTTGTAATTCACACTAAGCTTCTTTATTGATCTCTAATCTTTTTTTTTTAAATTATTAGTGAAACACCTTAAGGTACAGTTGTAGACTTAAAAAAATTTTTGTGTTTGGGTTTCAGTTATAAAAATGATCTCACTGCAGCACTCTTTACAATAGCCAGAATCTGGAAAAAACCTGAGTGCCCGAGAACAGATGACTGGTTAAAGAAACTTTGGTACATCTACACAATGGAGTACTATGTAGCTTTTAGAAAAGACGAAGTCATGAAATTTGCATACAAGTGGTACCACATGGAAAGTATCATGTTAAGCGAAATGACTCAGAAAGGGATAGACATAGAAAGATTGCATTCATCTGGGGAACATAAAGTAACAAAATAGGAGACTAATACCCAAGAATGGCCGAGATTAGTACCAGGAATTTTACTCCATAGCTTGGAGGCCGACCACACATGATAGGGGAAAAGGGAGCTCAGATAGAGAAGGGAACACCAAATAAAGGTGTTGGGAGAATCCTCCCAGAATGGGAGAAGCATGCTGAAAGTAGACTATAGACCAAACATGATTGCCACTCAATGCCTCTCTTGCAAAACACAGTACCCAAAAGAAGAGAGAGAGAACAAGGGGGAATGCCCTGCCACAGAGGCAGGGTGGGATGAAGGGGATGGGGGCTGGGGGGAATGCTGGGACCCGCGGTGGTGGAGGATGGGCACTGGTGGAGGGATGGGTACTTGATCATTGTATAACTGAAACCTAAGCACAAAAATTTATAAGTCTATAACTGTGCCTCATGGTGTTTCACTAATAAAAAAATGATTAATAAAAAAAAATAAAATAAAATGACAACTCAAAAAAAATGATCGAGTACCCATCCCTCCACCAGTGCCCATTCTCTACCACCAAGGGTCCCAGCATCCCTCCCACGCCCTGTCCCCCCATCCCACCCTGCCTCTGTGGCAGGGCATTCCCTTTTGTTCTCTCTCTCCTTTTGGGTGCTGTGGTTTGCAAAAGAGGAATTGAGTGGCAGTCATGTTCGGTCTATAGTCTACTTTCAGCATGCATCTCCCATCCTGGGCGGATCTTCCCAACACCCTTTATTTGGTGTTCCCTTCTCTGTCTGAGCTGCCTTTACCCCTAGAGTGTGCGGTTGGCCTCCAATCTAATCTTGATGTCTTTGGAAAGGTCTGTTCTCTGAAGGGCAGATGATAAAGCGATGGATAAAAGCCAGACCAGGGCATTGTAAAAGCACCAAAAGACACTGAGCCTAAAAGCCTCAGTACTGTGTCCTCAGAGCAACAGAGACCTTTTAGTTTCCACAGGGGGGGTCATTTGATCAGATTTTTACTTTGGAAAGGTCCCTCTGGCTCTAGTGTGGAAAACACACAGGGGAATAGGGTGATTCTGTGCTGTGGAAAACGTAGTTTGGACGATGAAAATGCAGTTGGGTGGGGAAAAGTACTGAAAGGTATTATCATTAGGACTAGGTGGTTGGTTGAGTGTGAGGAATTTGTGGAGACTCAGGAGTAATACTTAGATTTCTGGTTTGGGTAATGGTATCACCCATTGAAAGATGTGTCATTCCCATATGAAGCATGATTTATTGTATTTTGCTAAAGCTCTTTTGAAGTCTTTTTAACACTCCAGTTTGCAGGGCTCACTTTTTCAAATTCCCCATCTACTCTGTTATCATCGTCTAGTCCATAACATTTCCTGGTTCCGCCCTCAGCACAAGCTTCTTGCAGCTTACCTTTCTCTTATATTTTCCACCTTCCTTATTATAGGTCGGGGTTCTTGAGGGCACACACTAATAAGATACTTATTAGTACAAGATACTCTCCAGGACGATATCTGATTTCGTTTCATCACAGCCTCTCTACACATGGTTATGGGCAATGATGACTGTTGTGTTAAGCTCTAAAGTCCATCAAATGTGGCTCAGCTTCTCACAAAACCATAGAAATATTTTGTCATAAGTTTTATCTTTTAAGAAAGAAAGAAAGAAAATATGGAACCTTACTCTATTCCATGGCATATTCAAATGTGCCGAAAACAGTAACAAGTCTCACAATGGAGACGTTACTGGTGCCTGCTGGAGCAAATCGATGAACAGCGGGAGAACAGTGCTACTGTATTCCTCTACTGAAAACTAAAATCAATCTCTCTCTCTCTCTCTTTCTCTCTCTCTCTCTCACTCTCTCTCTCTCCGGACATTTGTTGAAATCCTAGTTCTTGCTGGTTGTCTTCTAGGAACTGGACATTGACAAGAAGAATAAGGGTTTCTGTATGTGCGTGTGCATGTGATTTGTTATTGTTGTTTTTAATGCCAAATAATCAGTAAGGACCTCTTATAACTTTTCATCCTAATTTTAATTCAGACTCATGGCAAAGGAGGCAAGAAAGTCATGCAGACTGATGAGTGGAGGAACAGCTCCATTGAAGACCGCCTTGAGTATGCCCTTGTGAAGGTGAGCAGTGGAACCCTGAGTGGGGACAGGATGCTCGAGGCTTATGTGGTGTCATTGATGAAGGGTGGTGCTGACAACAGCTGGCGAAGAAGAGTCCTTAGACCACCCACCTCTCTGGGTGATTTTGTCCCTGACTCATTTCTGTTGAAGCCATTGGGTGTAGATGAAGTGGCCAGGGGCAAGAGGGGGCAGGCTGTTTAAAATTTGATGGTACAAAGAACTGACACTCAGGTCATAGAATTATTCAGATTGAAATAGACGACTGCTGGACTAGAGCCATTACCAACTGGATTCCACGGGACGTCAAAAGACCGCATGGCTACCCACCTACAAGATGGTCAGACTTCTTCGTCAAGACCCTGAACGATCGGTTTGAGGCTCTTCGTGTTCCTAGAACGAACAGACGCCACTGGACTACACTAGCATGCGGCAGGGCCGAATGGGGATGTTACTGGCACCCGCTCGAGCAAATCGATGATTAATGGGAAGTCAAGTGATCAAGTGAAATATTAGTAGTGCTAAGGTTGAGAAACTCCCTAAGATCAAGTTGTGTCAGTCAATGAAGCAAGTTCCAGCTCTTCTGAAAACTGCAATTTTAGGCAAGATAAACAGTGTTATAGCTTCAGTTTCCTCATTTGTGAATCTGGAGAATTCCATTGGGGGGACTTTTGAGGGGGAGTCCTAGAATTTTAACATTTTGGATCTTTTTTTGGGGGGGTCACATCCGGTGATGCACAGGAATTACTCCTGGTTCATGCACTCAGGAATTACTCCTAGCAGTGCTCGGGGGAGCATATGGGATGCTGGGAATCGAACTTAGGTTGGCTGTATGCAAGGCAAACGCCCTACCTGCTGTGCTATTACTCCAGCCTTTATTTTGGATCTTTTGAGATTCACAATATTTGAAATTATGGAACTAGACAGCCAAGGATTGTTGAACTAGGGATGCTGGAGGTTTTGAAGTGGATCAGTGAAGGTCAGGTAAGTTAAGAGAGAATTACAATGAGAAAATATATTTCACAGGTAATACTTATATAATGTGTTAATCATTAGAATAAGAAATAAACTGTAGCACTGTAGCACTGTCCTCCCGTTGTTCATTGAAATGCTTGAGCGGGCACCAGTAATGTCTCCATTGTGAGACTACTTGTTACTGTTTTTGGCATATCGAATACGCCATGGGGAGTTCGCCAGGCTCTACCGTGCGGGTGAGATACTCTCGGTAGCTTGCCAGGCACTCCGAGAGGGGCAGAGGAATTGAACCCGGGTCGGCCACGTCCAGTGCAAACGCCCTACCTGCTGTGCTACTGCTCCAACCCAAACTGTAGTACAAGTTTGAATTTTATGTAATAGCACTATGTCTGTGGCTGACTTTTACTGGGCACTTTGTATTGGGGACAGCTGCTAAGTACTTTATATATAGTGTTTAATGTGTTATTTCACTGTCACTGTCCTCCCATTGTTCATCGATTTGCTCGAGCAGGCCCAGTAACATCTCCATTGTGACAATTGTTACTGTGTTTGGCATATCGAATACGTCACGGGTAGCTTGCCAGGCAAGATACTCTCGGTAGCTTGCCAGGCTCTCCGAGAGGGGTGGAGCAATCGAACTCGGGTCGGCCATGTTGGCTGCTTGCAAGGCAAACGCCCTACCCGCTGTGCTATCACTCCAGCCCAATATGTTATTTAATCCTCAGAATAACCATATGAAGTAGGCACTGCATATTTTAATTTAGGAAATCAGATTTAATAATTAGTGATGGAGCCAGGATTTGGACTCAAAATCTGTTTCCAAATCCCGTACTTTTAAATTTGTTAAAATTGTAATCACTATGATTAACAATATAAAAGTAAAAGTAAAGTAAAGGCCCTCCCGTTGATCATCGATTTGCTCGAGCGGGCCCAGTAACGTCTCCATTGGAGACTTTGTTGTTACTGTGTTTGGCATATCGAATACTCTCGGTAGCTTGCCGGGCTCTCCGAGAGGGGGATTAACAATATACTCTTAATAATAGGGTTTCATGCGTACATTCCAACACCACAACCTCCACCAGATTGTTCACTTCCTTCCACGATTGTCTCAGCCCCCCTACCCCCAAAACCCACTACCCACTACCTTGTTTCCCTGCCAGGGTGATCTCAGTTCTGTAGACCAGATCTCATATTCCAGTGCCGTTGGCCCTTTGTTACGCTATTGCTATGCTTCTTTATAACCCACATATGAAAGCGATCGTTTTCTGTCTATTCCTCTCCCAGTTGACTTCGCTTAGCATGATTCCCACCATTCCATTCATGTAGAGGCAAATCGCATCATTTCATCTATACTCAGAGCTGAGTAGTATTCTACTGTACATATGTATTATATTTTCTTTATCAGTCTTCTCTTCATGGACACTTGGCTTATTTCCAGGATTTGACTATTATGAATAGTGTTGCAATGAACATAGGATGCAAACAACTTTCCTGAACAGAGTTTTTAGCACCTTGGTACAGACTCCCAAAGCTAGTCATATGAAAGCTCATTTCTTAGTTTTATGGCAAGTGTTGAAAAAGATTGAACCAGTTGACATTCCCACCAACAGTGGATGAGGAGAATTCCTTTTTCCCATCCATGTCAGTACTCAAACATCTCCCCCCGCCACACACACACACGCACACACTTTTCAGCATTTCCATGGTTCATACTGTTGGGTGATTATACAGAATTTTAATTTGATTTTTTTTGTAGGGTATTGAAAAACATATTATTGAGGATACAGAGGAAGCCAGGTTAAAACACGAAAAGTATCCCCGGCCTCTGAACATAATTGAAGGACCGCTGATGAATGGCATGAAAATTGTGGGTGACCTTTTCGGAGCTGGGAAAATGTTCTTACCTCAGGTTTGTAAAGATGGGAGGAAGTTTTACAATTGGAGAAAATGGTATTATCTCTTAATGTTTTAACTTTGATAAGTGCTCAGGGGCATTGACATTTACTGTCTTTCAAAGTATTCAAGAGTAATTTGGGAAAATTCATCCTTAGACTGATGTAAAGCTTAGCAGTCATTTGGATGTTCTTTTGTTTTTATTTTGCTTTTGTTCAGCTAAAATTGGTTTGTAAGAGTGTAAATATTTATGTTTTATGGGCACAGTTTTAGCATACTATGTCAATCACCAAAGTACCAGTATCCCACCATTGCGCTCAACTAGACCCTGTCAGTCCACTTTCCACCTTTCTTTGGTAACCTCAGAAGTGCGGTCAGTTTTTTATTTCATTGGGCATTCTCTTTTCTTGCTTTTTCTTTATGTACTACCTACGAGTGAGATCATCTGGTATTTTCCTTTTTTCCTTATTTCACATTTCACTTAGTATAACACTTTTAGTTATAACTAGTCCATGGTGAAGTAAAAGGCAGGATTTTATCTTTTCTAATAGCTGAGTAGCATTTGTGTGTGTATGTGTGTGTGTGTGTGTGTCTGTATATATATGTGTGTATATATATATATATATCACTTGTATCACTTGCCACTTGTCATTCCGTTGATCATCGATTTGCTCGAGTGGGTGCCAATAACGTCTTCATTCATGCCTGTCGCGTGCTAGTGTAGCCCAATGGCGTCTGCTCGCTCTAAACAAACAGTTTGATGCTCTTCGTGTTCCTGGAGCGAGCAGATGCCATAAATATATAGATATATAAAATATGTTTTATGATATATTTTATGGCTTTAAGATTAACATCTAAGTCTTTTTTGAGTTAGCTCTTGTGCATGGTGCAAGATAGAGGTCTCTTCACCATTTTACGGGGGAACCTCCCAAGCAGCGCTCAGGAGCTGGGGGCTGCTCCTGGCTATACTTGGCCAGCCAGACAGCTCGAGCCTGGGGATGCAGAGTGCCAGGGACCATCAGGGCCGCCTTGGAGGTGCTTGAGCAGTGAACATGTATCAGAGTTTGAACTTGGTTCCTGTACATCCTGACCACTGGGCTATCTCTTCAGCTCCTCATCACCAATTATTAGAGAGACTTCTCTTTTCTTCATTTTATAATCTTAACTACTTTGTCACAAATGAACTAATCCACATATATAGACATTTTTAGCTGGTTTGTCAGTTCTGTTCCCTCACCTGAAATGTCTATTTTGTTGCAATACTACATTGTTTTGATTACCAGAATGTCATAGCTTATCACTTAAAATCACTTAACTTCCCGTTAGTCGTCGATTTGCTCGAGCGGGCGCCAGTAACGTCTCCATTTGTCCCTGTCGCGTGCTAGTGTAGCCCAATGGCATCTCTTCGCTCCGGGAACATGGAGGGCCTCAAACCGATCGTTCATGACCTTCACAAAGAAGTCTGACCATCTGGTAGGTGGGCGGCCACGCAGTCTCTTGACATCCCGTGGAATCCAATCAGTAACAGCTCTAGTCCAACGGTCGTCTTTAAATCTCATTACGTGACCAGCCCATCTGATTTTCGACACCTTGGCAAATGAGACAGCGTCCCTGATCCTTGATCGTCGACGGATGTCAGAACTCCGGATTCGTTCTCTCATTTGAGTGAAACGTGATATTCCAAGCATAGCTCTTTCTATTCTTCTTTGGGAGACCTGAATGGCGTTCTCATCTTGTTTGCGTAGGGCCCAGGTCTCTGAGGCATATGTTAATGCAGGAAGAACAGTGGAATCAAAGAGATGTGCCCGGAGCCGGAGGTTCTTCGTCCTCTTAGCTATTTCTTCGACGTTCTTGAAGGTGTTCCAAGCCGCTCTCTTCCTCCTGCGCAGCTCGGGTGCCAGGTCATTTGTCATGTTGACCTCTCGACCTAGGTAGACATAGCTGTTGCATTCGGAGATGGTCGTTCCATTGAGAGCGAATGGGGCATCAGGAACAAGGCTGTTTCTCATAAACATTGTCTTCGTAAGATTCAGCTGTAGTCCTACCTTTCCACACTCACGGTCAAAGTCGGCCAGCATTTGTGCCGCTTGGCTGATGTTTGGTGTTATTAAAACAATGTCATCAGCAAAGCGGAGGTGGTGTAGTTGCCGACCATCTATCTTCACTCCCATTCCTTCCCATTCCAGTTGTCGCATGATGTTCTCGAGGGTGGCACTGAAGAGTTTTGGTGAAATGGTATCACCCTGCCGCACCCCTCTCTTGACATCAACGATCACTTCTTTGTAGAATGGTGAGATCCTGGTGGTGAATCCACAATACAGCTCACGGAGGATCCTGATGTATTGGGCTTGAATGCCCTGATTGGCTAGGGCTTCAATGACCGCTTCCGTCTCAACAGAATCAAAGGCCTTCTTTAAATCAATGAACGTTAAGCAGAGCGGCATCTTGAACTCCCGAGAAACCTCAATGAGTTTGGTTATCGTGTGGATATGGTCGATGGTGCTGAATCCTTTGCGGAACCCTGCTTGCTCACATGGTTGTCCTTCATCTAGTGTTCTGCCAATCCTATTCAGGATGACTCGAGTGAACAACTTGTAGATGACAGATAATAGGCAGATCGGGCGATAGTTGCCAATGTCATGGATGTCTCCCTTCTTGAACAGTCATAGCTTAGTCTGGCTTATTTATTTATTTATTTATAGGGCTTTTCTTGGGAGCTCTTTAGCTGTTCTTAGGACTTAACTCTTGGTTCTGTGCTCAGGGATCTCTCCTGACAGCATGGGGAACAATATGGGGTACTGGGGATCGAACCTGGGTTTGCCACATCGAAGACAAGTGCCCTACCCACTATACTGTTGCTCCAGGCCCCTCTGCATCTGTTGATTTGTCCATATGGGTTTTATCTTTCCTTTTGTTGATGTGATATATCACATGAATTTATTTGCATATGATGACTGTTCTTTCATTCCTAGAATAAATCTCACTAAATCATGATGTATATTGATCCTTTTAACATATGGCTGAATTTGATTTACTAAGATTTTGTTGAGGATGTTTGCATCTGTGCTCATCTTGGATATTAATCTGTAGTTATCTTTTACTAGAACTCACTAGTAAAACCATCTAAACCTGTTTTTTTTGTTTGGGGGCAGACTTTTAATTACTCTTTCAATTTCCTGACTTGTAATTGGCTGTGTAGGTGTTCTGTTTTCTCCTGATTCCAGGTTGGATAATTTTAAATATTTTTTCATTTCTTTTTGGTTCCTCGATTTAGTGGCATAGAGTTGCTCAGAATAGTCTCATACTTTTTTTATATTTCTATGGTATCTGTCATAACTTTCTTTTCATTTCTGATCCTGTTTATTGGGGTATTCTGTCTTTCTGCATGCGCCAAGCTAAGAATTTCTCAATGTTTCTTATCCTTTCAAGGAGCCCGCTCTTAGTTTCATTTTCTCTTATAAACATTTTTCCCCATTGATTTCTACTCTGATTTTCTTTTTTTTTTAAATTTATTGAATATCTCTTAGATCATTGCAAAGCTGATCATGATTGGGTTTCAGTCATACAATGATCCAACACCCATTCCTCCACCAGTGTTCCTTTTCCACCACCAATATCCCCCATTTTTCTCCCACCATCCCCCACCTCCCACCCACCCACCACCATCCTCAGCCTGCTGACCAGCCAGACACTGTTCTCCTTTTTCTCTCTCCTTTTGTGCATTATGGTTTGCAGTACAGGTACTAAGAGGTCATCTTATTTGTTCAGGGCGTTCAGTATTTTTATTGGGAGGGTAAGGCTGGAGTAGCTTGTTCTTTTTTCTTTTCTTTTTTTTTTTTTACATGAATCACTGTGAGAATTACAGACTTACAAACTTTCGTGATTATCTTTCAGTCACACATGATCAAGTACTCATCCCCCAACCAGTGCCCATTCTCCCCCACCAGTGATCGCAATTATCCCTCCTGCCACCCCTACCCCCACCCCTCCATGCCTCTGTGGCAGGCACATGCAGCTTTGGCGTATGGACATGACTGCCAAAGCTTCTGGAAGTACAGGGAGGTGGGGGAAGATAACCCTTCTCTTCTCCAAGAAAGCCTGTGAGATTTCAGTCACAAAACCCACATATCCAGATTTTCAGCAGATTATATCTCGGTGAGGTCTTTACTGAGATGGTGGAGTCCAATGGTGAACATAGCAATGATGTTAGATTGTGGGAGCAGGGGGCTGCCAGGGTCTCTGCTTGGGCAACACCAGGCTCACCCTCCACTCCTCCAATTTACCCTGGTCTGTTCAACCGTGCAGACTGTGCACGTGAGATTAACTGTGACTTTTGATTTCTTTGAGATTTATTTATGTGTCTCTGAAGCAAAGCCGATAAATAAGCTTGTATAGCAGAGCCTGAGGTAGTTTGTGACTCCCACATACTAACTTTTGGCTATTTAATTTCTCAGGAAACTTAGTCCTGAGTTTTTGGGGTCAAACCAGAGGCACAGTGGCAATTTTGCGGTATCAGGAAGCCTGAAGGCACCATCAGGCTGCTAATGCACTCACCCCATGGGTACAGATTGACCTGCTGGCGGCACCACACCTCCAATATTCTTTGATTTCTTATCTATTCATTTGTCCATCCTTTCCTAGTTTTTTAATTTATTTTTATTATTTTCTCTTTTATTTCATTTTATTTTATTTTGTTTTTTGCACCATACCTGGCTATTTTCATGGCTTATTCCTGATGTTGTGTTGAGGATTCACAATTATTCCTTATGTTGCCCCTTCTCAGAAGAGGAGACCAATGTGGGTAACTTGGGATCAAAGCATGATTTCTTTCTTTCTTTTTTTTTTTTTTCTTTGCATCATACCTGGCAATACACAGGGTTTTTTTCCTGGCTCTGCACTCAGTAATTACTCCTGGCAGTGCTCAGGGGACCATATGGAATGCTGGGAATCGAACCTGGGTAGGCCACATGCAGGACAAATGCCCTACCCACCGTGCTATTGCTCCAGTCCCTATTTTCTTTTGTTTTTGGAACCACACCCTGTAGTGCTGAAGGTAGGAGGTGTCTACTCTTGTTTTAGTGCTCAGGTATCACTCCCAGAGGAGTCAGAGATTGAGCCTTGGCCTCCCACAAATGTACCAGCCATCTGTGTGACCTCTTCTCAACCTCAAAGCACATATCTTCATTTGTGCTAAGATTTTATATATAGCTGTTAGATTGTTAAGGTTGTTTGGTTAAAATACCTGACACTTCACACACTTCCCTCAATCCCCCAGGTTATAAAGTCAGCTCGAGTCATGAAGAAGGCTGTTGGCCACCTTATTCCCTTTATGGAGAAAGAAAGAGAAGAAATGAAAGTACTTACTGGCGCAGTTGAAGAAGAGGCAAGTTAGTTTGTCTAATCCGGGGGATTTTGTGAAGGGCTAACCTTAGAGTTTCTTCCTAGGCTGGGATGGGACTTGTCTATGTTTGTTGTAGAAGATAAAATACAGAAATTGTTCAACTCAACCAGGTATCAGAATACCCAAGGATTTGCCTTTGCACTTGTCCTCATGACATTTTTATGTGTTGTTGATTTTCCCAGTAAGCCCATAATTTCAATACAAAACCAGTTCATTCATTCATTCAGTTCAATTGTATCTGTCACTTTGCTAGATTCAGTAGCTATAAAGATCAGTCCCTGCCCTTGAGTAAGTGAGTCATGTATGGTTTTGGGAAACCTCTTAATTTAATATTCTGTATACTGGTAATGTCCTTGGCACCACTTCCGCATTCAATTTCTTTCTTGTTGGCTACACCACATAGTGAATCATTGTGCATTTGACCTTATTTAGTTCCATATGAAGCTCAGTCTGCTTTGGCCCCTGATTCTGAAATCTTAAATTGATTTGAGTTTATAAGTTGCTCAGACAGACGTAGTACTCATAAAAATCTCATGTGCCTTTTTCTTTGTCCCCCTCCCACCCTGAGCCCCACACCCACCTCTTGTGAAGGAGGAGGAGAGTCTGACCGTGCATGAGAGGCCAGCACTGTTGAAGAACTTTGAAGCTAATCCAGTGTCCCTCTGCACTGTGCTATTTTAACTTTGTGGATTCTCATGAAACATGCGTGGTTTGCCAGCTTCTCCCCCCACCCCCCTGACACACACACACACACACACACACACAAACACTTACTGCTAACAATGAACTTTTGTCAGCTGGATTTAGCAGGTTCTGAAAAGGGTGTTCAACTATTGGGCGTTTTAAAAAATTTGAGCTTAAGCTGTTCTTTGAAGTGATGAACCCATGATTTTGAAAGAAAATCCCTGAGCTTATTAACTAGGTAGCCCCTTCCGAACACTTTCATTTCTGTCTTCAGAGAAGCACGTGATTGAACTTCCGCATCATATTTTCAAGTTTATCTTGGTTGTGTTAAGTTGTTTTTCTGTGTTGACATCTGACTGACTCTGGAGAGTAAGGTGATGTATTCTAAAATGACTGAGCAGTTCTCAGCTCTTCACTTTGGCTTACTCCCCAGAACCCTTACCAAGGCACTATTGTGTTGGCGACCGTTAAGGGCGACGTGCATGACATAGGTAAAAACATAGTCGGAGTGGTCCTTGGCTGCAATAATTTTAGGTAAGTTAAAGCCCATCTTTTCCAACCTGTCTTCTTTTATTTTTATTATTTATTTATTTGGGGGGGGAGTTGGTAGGCGGGCACACCCAGTGTTGCTCAGGGCTTTCTCCTGGCCCTGTGTTCTCTCCTAATAGGGCTCGGGAAACCACATGGGATGCAGGAACCTGGGTAGGCTGTGGGCAAGGCACATGCCCTACCTGTTGTCCTATGGTTCTGCCCCTCTCTCATTTTAAATTAAAAGCATCAGCAGGCTCATTCCTAATTGGTGGGAGAGGTGGGGTATGAAATGGATTGTAGAGGTTTTTCTAAATTTTTTTTCCTTTAGTACATCTTTTTATTTTCTACAAGAACATATCTTTTCAAGTAAGGTAAACTAGTAGCTATTTAAATGTGTTGTGTTTGAAAGGACAGAAAGTAGCAAAAACAATTCAAGTAGTATTTAAATAGCCTACAAACATTCTTGAGAATGTATGTTGGGCCAGACATCTATTAATTCATTGGACTCCTCACTCATGTCAGTAGCATAAAACATACTCTTGATAACTGGTATATATTAGAGCTGAGATCTTAGAAGATGTTGGCTAAATGGAAGGTTGTTTTGTTTTGTTTTGTTTTAAGCATGGTGGGAGGGTATACCATACAGGGTGCGGAGTTGGCTGCATGCAAGGCAAGTGCCCAACCCACTGTAGTCTTGCTCCAGTCCTAAGTGGAGTTTTATAAGAAACTTTGACTCTCTGGTTCTTTGTTTTACTTAGATCAGGACGATGGATGCTTCTAGGTAATGATAAAACTGGTTTGTGAAATTTTTTTGATCGGGGGGAATCACACCCAGCAGTGCTCATGGCTTACTTTTGGCTCTGTGCTCAGGGATCACTCCTGGCAGGCTTGGGGGATCATCATGGGTGTTGGGGATCAAAAGTGGGGTCAGCTGTTCATAAGAAAACTGCTTTCCGATGTAGCTCATTGTTAGTGAGTAAATACTCAGCACAAAGGCATTTCTGTGTAAGAGCTAATGACCTACAGTAAGTGTGCATTTTTGGTTAGATTTCAGCATGTTATTTGTAATAAGAGCCTAATATTACTAATGTCTTCTCTGGTCCATGTCCAACCAAAAATCCTTTTGAGTCATAGACTTCTTTCCAATGTCAAGTTACGAGAAACTTAACCGTAGTTATAAGCGGTTCCCCCTTAGAGTTGTGTCAGCTCACTGTTGCTCCTTAAGTCCACTCCCTACCCTCATCACTATCCATTATCCACCTCTGCATTCAAAGCTATTTCAGTGTAACTGCAAATCTTTCAAGGAGACTGAAGATGGAAGAGCAGTGTGAGGATGGCAGCTGTTTGGCTGCCAACTCACTGTCAAAAGTTTAGCATTCTCACCTAGTCCTGGAAATGAAGAAAATGGTTTTGGAGTATATATTGTTTTTACAAAGGGAAATATCTTTGGAGATATAATACCGTTGGGATTATAATGGATTTAACTTATATGTATTTGAATAAACTGTTCTCTAAAATCTGTGACATCTGCTTTTATCTCCTCTTTCCAAATCTGTTGTTGGTTTCTGTTTGCCTCTATGACAATTAGTTAACTGTATTTCAACTTCTAAATGTTTATAGATCATCTGCTATGTACCAAACATTGTGCTAGAGGCTCTCCAAAGCAAGTGAGTTGACTTTTCTCCAAAAAGTTTGCTGTTTCACATACTAAATATACAGATAAACATTCAACTGTGGTAATGGGATGGGATCCGTTTAAAAATAATTGCTTGTAGCTAACTTCTTCAGAACAATTCTTGAAATACTATTGCCATGTGTTTATCATTTTTTTACTTCCTTCGATGGATGAGTAGCTGAGAGAATCATACTAGGAATGTTTTTCCTCTGGTTAGTAAAGACATTTTCAGAGACCAGGAAGAACTGTGGCACTTCTCCAGAGCGCTACTGGAATTGAATGTCAACACTTGTGAAAGCTTGTTTATTAAACCTGAGGCTTCCCTGCAGCACATCCAGTTCTACTGTCATGCATAGAAGGTCAGCTTACCTCTGCTAGTTGTTCTAGCTGGAGAAACATCTTTGTTGAAACTTTTGGCGGAAATGCAAGTGAATGTGCAAATTCCTGAACAGGTCAGGCACACCTTTGTGCCTGAGTTGTGACACATAGACTCTTGGAATTAATGGGTTTAATTTTATGTTTTCATCTGGACAAGTGTTCTGGGAATCTGCCTTATGTAGTTAAATGTATAGACTTGGGCTGAGTGTCAGTGTTCTAGGCTGGGTGCTATGGTAAGTCATCTAGCCAGCAAGTAGAGCAATAATACAGCAGGTAAAGCATTTGCCTTGCAGCTGCTGACCCAGGTTTGATCCCTGACATCCCATACAGTCCATTGAGCCACCAGGAACGATTCCTGAGCATAGGGCCAGGAGTAAGCAAACAAAAAAGTAGAAAATGTGTTAATGTAGTAGATCTTATGGTACAGTGCAGTTTTTGCCAATTAGAGAATTTTAATTAATCTAGGGATAGGTCCTATAAGAGTCTACTAATATCTAAGATTTGTTTACTATGAAATTTATGTAACTGATTTTTTTCCAGGTGGTGCTGGTGATTGAACCCAGGCCTTGACACGTATAAGACATGTTCTCTACCACTGAGCCATGTCCTCAATCCCTAATCTTTATTTTTCCTTCTCCCAACCCAATTTTTCTTTCATCCTTTTACTTTTTTAATTGTTGATTTTATCTTTGATCTCTTTCATAATTGTATGCCTCACAAGAAAAGCAATAGAAAAATGCAGTGTAGGAGAATTTAAGTGATTTCTTCATGGACTCCTAACTAGCAAGTGGCAAACCATGTTCATGGTCTCTCTGCAAGTAAGGACTAGGTCCTTTCTCAGATTACCTTCCAATCTTGATTCTAGAGCCAGAGAGGTAAGGCTCTTGTCTTTCATGTGGCTGATCTTGATTTAGTCCCCAGCACTGCAAATGGTCCTGCTCAGAACCACCAGGTGTCACTCCTGAGTGCAGAGCTAGAAATTCCCCAAACACCTCTCCATGTGGCGTAAATCTCCCAAATAAACAAGCCCAAATAGTATTTGTTTCAGTAATAAAGTTAACTGTAATGCCTAGCATTAATATTCTAAGTAAATTCCTTGTAAAAATAATTTGGGATATTAAAAAAATTTTTCACTTGATTGATTTTCTTATTTAAAACATTTTGTGGGAACCCAAGCAGCATACCATAAGAGTCACATCCAGCAGTGCTGGGGCTGCCCTTGTCTTGCCAAGAATTAAGTCCAAGGCCATACCCCTCCCCGGTTTGTTACTCTGCCACCTGTGACATATCCGTGACTTTCCCAAAACATTTTTGATCAGATATTTCATGATATAAAAGTTGAATTTATGTGTAATTTTTTTAATGTATGTACTTTTTAATGATAATTATTTGAAAAGACAAGTGTGAACATTTCTTTCTTTTTTTTTTTTTTTTTTTTGCTTTTTTGGATTACACCCAGCGATGCACAGGGATTACTCCTGGCTCTGCACTCAGGAGATACTCCTGGCAGTGCTCAGGGGACCATATGGGATGCTGGAAATCGAACCCGGGTCGGCTGCATGCAAGGCAAATGCCCTACCTGCTGTGCTATCTCTCCAGCCCCGAACATTTCTAATTTAACAAAAATCCACTGTAAAATTATGTAAATAAAAACAAGCTGGATCAACAGGACTTTAAACAGTTAGTTATAGTCAGTGTATAGACTGTATTTTTTTTAAAATATGGATCTTCTGAAATAGATAACGAGGCATATGTATATATTAGGCAGTGGTTTATATATATACATATATAGTATACATGATATATACACATATATACAGACTAGACAAATATACATATGTCTAGTAAAGGCAGAAGTAGGCAATTATGACCGAGAATGAAATATTTTGAAAACTATATTACAGGGTTCAGCTGAGAAAAGAAAATGAAATAATGCAAACTCTCAAGCATTGGTTTCATAATATAGGTTTTCAACTTATGTGTATGTAGTTTTCTAGTGTTGCTGAGATATAAATGACTCAAAGCTATGTGTAAGTGCATGTGTGTTGACTTGATAAACTTTTTACTGTAGTATTTTTACTATCCTAGCATTAGCTCCATCAAGTCACATAATTTTTTTTCATGTTGAGAACATACAAGAACTACTCTTTTCACACTTCCAGGAATACAATACAATTTTTTTTTTTATTAGTGAAACACCATGAGGTACAGTTGTAGATTTACAATTTTTTGTGTTTGGGTTTCGATTATACAATGATCAAATACCCATCCCTCCACCAGTGCCCATTTTCCACCACCATGGATAATATCCCTCCCACCCCCATTCCCCCCATCCCACCCTGCCTTTGTGTCAGGGCATTCCCTTGTGTTCTCTATCTCCTTTTGGGTGTTGTGGTCTGCATCTTTATAATTAAAACAATTTAAAGCATCTTTATTATTAAAACAATTTAGAGCATCTTTATAATTAAAACAATTTAAAGTTATCCTTGAAATGTAAGCCTTTCAGTTTTGCTCTTATAGCACCATGTTATGTCGCTTCATTTGGGTGGGGGTGTTGTGCCTGACCAAGTAGTACTCAGTGATTGGCCCCCTCTCTGCTCAGGAGTGACCCCTGGCAGTGCTCAGCAGACCATATGTGGTGTGGGAGATTTGAGCAGGGTCAGCTGTCAGCTGCGTGCAAGGCAAGCACCTTACTGGTTGTAGTGTACCTGGCCCCTTACTTAGTTTCATAGGCAAACCTATATTTAGTCATAGTTTAACAAAAGTTAAACTAGTGCCTGCATATTTTCAATACGCTCACCAGAAACTTCCCCCAAGCTACCAGTTGCAGTGCCACAACTGCACAGAAGCCCTGCATTTGTTTTTTACTGAGTTTGTACTACCAGAGTATACCAATATAGTGATTGTTGTTTCAAAATAATCTTCTTTCTTATGTACATATGCCATATGTACTTCTATATTTGAAAAGAAAATGTAAGTAAATGAGAAGTTGAAAAATTCAACAATATAAGAAGAGTACGTAATGAGAAACAAGTCTTCTTGCCCCTTGGGTCCAGCATACTGATGACTGATGCATGTAATAACGTTGCCCATTGGTTTTATTGAAATAATATTCCAATTTTAAGAATTGCTGTTATCATAAGACAAGCAAATATGCATTCTATAATTTTTAAAACATCTTTCAAACAACTGCTCATAAGTATATCAATGCCGAGGTGCTGTGTAAAAGTATTTAGGTGCAATTCTAAGATAGAATAGAACATGTAGAACATTTATTAGGGCATAAGTTCCTATTTTTTCTGAGTTTCTGAAACTTCCTTTTGTTTGTTTTTGGGCCATGAGACCGGAATGACAGTATAGCAGGTAGGATGTTTGGCTTGCACACAACCCACCTGGGTTTGATTCACGGCATTCCATATGGTCTCCCGAGCACCACCAGGAGAGATTCCTGACTGCAGAGCCAGGAGTAAAGCCTGAGCATCACCAGGTGTGACTCAAAAGAGAGAGACAGAGACAGAGAGACAGAGTATTTGGGCCACTTCTAGCAGCACTCAGGGTTTACTCCTGGCTCTGTGCTCAGGGATCAGTCCTGGTGGGCTGGTGAACCATATGATATGCCAGAGATCAAGCCTGGGTCAATAGCATGCAAGGAAAGCGCCCACTGGCTGTGCTGTCTCCTTGTGAGTTGGACTTCTGGTATTTGTTCTCTCAGAGCTAGCTCCCAGTGTGCTGGGCCCTATACTACCCTCCTGCGTTCACTCAGCTCAACTTTTCTTTTGTCTCACTCTTTCCTGCTCCCTAATTCGTTCTCCCTCTCCCTTGCTTGAAAACAACAACAGATTGGGGCCGGATCAAGGCACTTGCCTTCCCCACAGCTGTTAAGGTTAAGGTGATGGCCTTCCGCTTGGCTGACCCAGGTTTAATCCCTGGCACCCCAGATGGTCCCCCGAGCCCACCAGGAATGACCCTTGAGTGCAGAGCCAGAAGTAAGCCCTGAGTGTTGGGTGTGGATTGTGTGGCCCCAAAACAACAACAAAAACTTCATCCTAAGCAAAAGGCAAACTATTTAGAAGTCATAAGACTGCTTTAAATGAATTTATGCTCTATGGATTATATATGAGTGGAGCTGCTTCCAAAGACTCAGCATTATTACTGGCATATGGTAGGTACCTAAAAAATGGTAGTGGTACTGTGATGGTTGATACTTAGTGAGCACTTTAGGGTGATTTCAGTTTACACTGGAGTACTGAGTACTGTCTAATGGAAAATTACAAATGTTTATTTCAACTTTGTTTCTTGTGGGTTCTCTTTATTTTTCTTATCTCTCATTTCTGTGTTTCAGAGTTATTGATTTAGGAGTGATGACTCCCTGTGATAAGATACTGAAAGCTGCTCTTGACCATAAAGCAGGTACAATGGTGCTTCTGTCCCAAACTCTCATATCTCACCACTGTGATCTGTGAGTCCTAATGTCTAAGCCCATGTGGGATCCCTGGGGCCTTAAGGATCAGCTCTGGTGTACGGGCTGATTTAATTGCACTTTATAATAGGATGAAAGGGTGAAGAAATATCTGTAGAACTCCAGCCCTTACAATGAGAAAAGGGAACTAGTTTCTTATAAGAGAACAATGTTGTGTTAGATTTTTTTCCCTCTGTGTGTAGTTTTTATATTCCTTAAGATACTGATATTTTCCAATCTGGAGATCTTGAACCAACAGCCTATTCTGTTACATGGCTTTTCCAAAATGTCGCAAATATGTTATTGCAATTTTGAATTGGATATGATATTTATTGCTGGGCTGGAGAGATAGTTCAAGGGCTGAATGCATCTTTGCATGCTGGAGACCCAGGTTCGATCTCTGGCAGGGTGCTGCATGATCCCCTGAGCACCAGCAGGAGGGAGTGACCCCCATAGCACACAGCCAGAAATAACTGATGAAAAGAAAATATTCACTATAAAAAGCAATCAATAAATTAAAATGATGTCTTAAAAAATTAAAAATTGGCAGCTTTGAGTTTTGTGTTCTCTATTAACAGTTTAAAATTGAGTATCACAGGACTGGAGTGATAGTACAGCAGGTAGGGTGTTTGTCTTGCATGCAAACAATCCGGGTTCAATCCCCGGTATCCCACATGGTCCATCCCATATGGTCTTCCAAGTACCACCAGGAGTGATTTCTGAGTTCAGAGCCAGGAGTAACCTCTAGGCATTGCTGGGTATGATCCAAAAAGCCAATAAAATTGAATCTCCACACTTCCTCTTTTTCTCTTATCCTTCTCATTATCCTGACTGTTTTCTCTTTTTTTTTCCAATACTAGACATAATTGGCCTGTCAGGGCTCATCACTCCTTCCCTTGATGAAATGATTTTTGTTGCCAAGGAAATGGAGAGATTAGCTATAAAGATTCCATTATTGATTGGAGGAGCAACCACTTCCAGGTAAGTCAAGCAAATGAATCTTGAGCTTCACTTTAAATTCTCTTAAATGCCAGCTTGCAAATACTGTGATAAAATCAGAGTTGTTTCTTTTTCTTATGCTTAGTCCATTGCCTCCTTATTTTATCAACACTTGAATTTTTCCCTGACTTCTCTTGAATATCTGTGAAGCGTGCTGAAGGAAACACATTTGTGTCCTGCCCACCCTTTTAATTTGGGGTGGGATTTCCTTGGATTTGCATTTATCTTTTCCTGACCCTCGTCTCTCACATTCAGTTTCGAAGATCCCTAATGAGCACTTGCTTCTTCCTACTGAAATCAAATTGAGTGGACAATCTGTATTTTGGGAGGGGCACAAAGACTTGCTTAAACATTTGCCTCTTCTTTAACTTGAGGCAGGTATCTGACTGATTGATTACAGGTTCCTTCCGAACCTGGCTTTTGTAATAATTGAGGCACAAAAGTCAATCAAGTTAGGATGAACTGAAAGGTCGATCACCCCAGGATGTTGTTTTGCAAAATGGGAGGTCTTTTGTAAACTAAGCTAAGAAATTGAAAGAGGAGAAAATTTCTATTTGATAAAACAAGCATTATTCAGATTATCAGAGTTTTTCCTTGGGTCATGATGACAATCATATTTGGTGAGAGATACATTAATTATGGATATTAGACTTGATGACAGTTTTCTTCCAGTTTTACTGAAAAATAATTGATAAATATCTCAGTATCCCTCCACCCCCATCCCATCCCGCCTCTGTGGCAGGGCATTCCCTTTTGTACTCTCTCTCCTTTGGGTTGCTGAGGTTTGCAAAAGAGGCATTGAGTGGCAATCGATCTATAGTCTACTTTCGGCATGCATCTCCTATCCTGGGAGGATCCTCACAACGCCCTTTACTTGGTGTTCCCTTCTCTGTCTGAGCTGCCCTTTGCCCTGGCATATGTGGCTGGCCTTCAAGCCATGGAGTGAACCTCCTGGTATTTATCTCGACTCTTCTTGAATATTAGTTTCCTATTTTGTTACTTTATATTCCCCAGACGAATGCAGTCTTTCTATGTCTGCCCCTCTCTTTCTGACTCATTTCACTTAGCGTGATACTTTCCATGTAGTACCACTGGTATGTAAATTCATGACTTCGTCTTTTCTAACAGCTGCGTAGTACTCCATTGTATAGATGTACCAAAGTTTCTTTCTTTAACCAGTCATTTGTTCTAGGGCACTCAGGTTTTTTCCAGATTTTGGCTATTGGAGTCACTGTTACTTTTGTTGTTATTGAATTGTATCAACTTGTTCATGTATTTCAGATATCAACTCCTTATCAGACTTCTTATTTGTAAAATATTTTTCTTATTCCAGATTATTGTCTTTTTACGTTTTTGGATATTTTGTAATAGACATTCATTGTTGGTTTGATGTAGTCCCAGTTGCTCTTTTTTTACTTTCTTGATTGTGTTTTAGGTGTCACATACAATAAATCATTGCCCAAACCCATGTCTGACATATTCCTTATGCTCTGTATAGTTTATTTTGTAATAATGCCCAGATGGAGCATTGGACTTCATGGTTTCACAAGCATATTGCTTGTTTTTTTATATAAAAAATGTAATATGGATCTGATCAAAGATATTCGATTTTTTTTAAATTCTACAAACAAATGTATGTTAGGTCACTTGACTTAATCAAGATTCCCCAGAGACCCAACTTGATCTTGATAGGATGTCTGCTTTTGGATAAATAAACACATCTCTTTTTTTTCTTGGATATTAATTCATTTGAAGAGGCCCATACACATTATGGAGAGCAATCTGTGTCACTCATAGTCTTCTGATCTCAGTGTTAATTCTATCCAAAGAATAGCTGCACAGAATTATGTAGATTGGTATTTGACCCAAAACTGAGTACCAGGACCTAGCCAAATTGACACATAAAATTAGGCATGATCAGGTCCCAGAGATAGTACATTGCTTATACACCCAGCACAGGGTCTTCTCCCAGTACCAGCACTCTGAACATCACCAGGTAAGGCACTAAAGTGCCCTGAGCACCGCCAGGGGAGGCCCAACATCATTGGTTGACTTGGGCATCCGTGGCACCCAGGGTTCATGTGAGCAGCAGTGAATCCTCAGCCTCTTGCATCGAACCACTAACCTAATTGGCTGAGCATTAGGTGGGGTCCCTGAACCTCTCAGGCTTGGGTGGCCATCCCCCCCAAACATGGTCCTGTTTATAATCTAAATGGCTTTTCTTGAATGGCTTATGGGAGGCTCTCAGTTAGTGTTCAGAAAGCCTGGGGACCGCTCCCTGCAATTCTGTGTTGCTGATCAGGTTCTGAGGTATTATGGGCCATCCTGGCCACCCAAGTGGAGCTGGGGGGCATCCATGGAAATGCTCAGCAATAACCTGGGGGCTGTGAGGGACCATGTGATTCCAGGGATCAAACTGGAGTCCCACTGATAACATATTTTAAATTGGGTGTTCTGCCTTTTTTCTTCCTGATTTCTATATATTATTTATATTACGCAGTCCTTTGTTGGAAAGATATATTACAAATAGGTCTTCTCAGCAGTCTTAGATTTTTTTGTCTCATAGGATTTTTGATAAAGTTCTTAATTTTTTTTATGAAATCTAATTATTTAGTTTTTTTTATTTGGACGTTGCTCTCTTTATTTTTAGAATTTTTTATTGAGTCACCATGAATTACTAAATTAATCCTGAATAACTTAGGCAGGCATACAGTGTTCTAGCACCAATACATTTCACCAGTGTGTACTTCCCTCCACTAATGTGCCCAGTTTCCATCCCACCTCCCTGCCTGCCTCTGTGGCAAGAACCTTTTCTTTTCTTTTAGGCTCTGTAGTTTCCAATACTGTTACTAATAGGGTATCATGTGTATTACTTTAGTGGCACCTTCCCTGTCCTATTCCCCACCTGTGGTCTGCTTCCTGCTAAAGTCCAGTTTTCATGTATCTTTCTGTAACTATAAGAAAACGTGGTGGAGTTCATGCACAATTCAATCAGCTAATCAGTGGCAGAATAATTAGCAGTACTCCTACAAAAAAAGAAAAAAAAAAACCTGACAGTGGTAGAATATTTGCCTTACACATGGTCTACCCGGGTTTGATCCTTGGCACCCCACATGTTTCTCTGAGCCTGCCAGGAGTGATTCTTGAATCCAGACCCAGAGCCAGGATCTGCACCCAGATCTTGAGCACTGCTGGGTGCAGCCCCAAAACCAAAAAAAAAAAAAAAAAAGGAAAAATAAAAAGAAAGAAAATCATGTACTCTTGGGAGAGTCAACTTTGCTAGAAAGCATTCAGGAATTCAAATATCATAGGAATCCTTGTTATTACCTTCTACAAACCTTTTGAGTGCTCCGCAGAGGCCCAGTTATTTCCTCTAACTGAATTTCGGCAGATGGTGACTCAAGACGTCTAAGTTATCATGAAAATAGGCCTTGGAGAAGGAGAACTTCCTATGTTTTCTAGACCTTAGTGGTCTGCATGATGGTCTGCATTAACAACTACACCCTCAACTTTCTCAAAATGGGGTGAAAGGTTGTCTACTGAATGGATTCTTGGAGAGGTTGAAAGGGTTGTATAGATCTGGGGACACAGAGGGGTTGAAATATACCTACTGTTCCATTGAGCCTGTAGCTGTAAGAAAGTAGGAAACTGAATACTCTCCTGCCTGTAATACAGATGGTTTGGGTATCACAAGCTCGAAATGACTCTAAGAGAAATCTGGTCCTGGTGGCTGGAGTGCTTCTCGAGGGCAGGAGTCTGGCAGTTAGCTCTCAATTTTTTACTGGTTGAAAGCCAATGACTAAAAACTGGCTTTTTTCAATCATCTTTTGTGTGATTTAACTTGGATAATTAAACAGGAGTCCACGTTGCTCAAAACTAGCAGAATGTTTCTGAGTTTTTTTCCCCCTTAATTGCTAGGAAGTAAGGTGTTCATTACATAACGGATATAATTTTCCTCTTTGAATTGGCTGCAGGAAAGCTTAGAACTCTGACCTATATGTAGGATTTCATGAAATGAATTTTATATGCTAATCTCAATTCTGATTACAATCTTAATTTTCTAGTTTTTATTTTGGCCTCTTATCTTTTTCATCTAATTTAAGTTTTTGTCATGCTGCATCTTTAAGAACACTAATTCTGGCATAGGATATGACATGACATTAATGTTTGGAGTCCTTATTCTCTCACCAAAGTGTTTAAAAAAAAAACTAAGGTTATCGTTATTCTGCCCATTTTGAAAGTACAGGAAGCAACTAGTAAATCCTTAAGTGCTGGTGAGTGACTTAGCTGAAGTGGATTTTAGATTCAGCTGTACTCTCTAGCCCTCTGTTCTTGGTTTAGAATTTTACATTTTCTTTTAAAGTGGGACCCATACATAGCTTTGCTTAGAACTTACTCCTGTTTTTGTGCTCAGATTCACTCCTGGCAGTGCTCAGGAGACCTCTGTGACAAGGTGTTATCTCTCTAGCCCCTGTTCTTTGTATACAGGAAGGACTTGTTATACATCTTTTCAGACTTGAAGAACTGTTCCTCTGGGGACCTGAGGCGTAGTATGAAAGTAAAGGTGTTTGACTTTCATGCAGCTGACAGCAGGGAGGTTTTTTTTTCCCTTAAGGTTGTTCACATTAATTGATTACATTCAATATTTCAGCACCAATCCCAGCACCATTACACCTTTTCACCACAATTATTTCAAATTATTCCACCATCATTCAAGCCTGCCTGCCACAGGCAAATGCTAGATAATTTATTTTCTGTTGCCACTTTTGTGGCCGTGCACTCCTGGAATTCTAAAATTGTAAAGAACTGGGGTCCAGAGACATCTCTGCAGTGAGCTAAACCATTCCGAGATTTGTTTGTGAATCTCTAGATCAAGGCCATTAATGTGCTTAAATGGCACCAGGAGGCAGGTCTTGAGAGGCAGGTCTTGAGTGGCTGACACCAATCTGATCTCCAGCGCCCTTTAAGGTTTCCCAGTTACCTTCAGGAGCACAGGCCAGGGATAATCCCTTCACACAGCTGGGAGTGGTCCCAAAACAAAAACAAACAACAACAAAAAAGAATGGTTTTTCCAGCTGGAGAGGCTGTGTAAATGGAAGAAAGTGGATTTGGTGTTAAGAATATTCTATAAAAAAGCCAAAAGCACTCTCAGTGGCTGGGTAAGTGCTATGTCTGTACTCAACTAGCTTTGTCAATTTTTTATTGGAAAGCAGACTGTATATTTTTATTATTGTTATTTTTTAAATGTGGGATCCATCCATATCTTCTCAGCATCTTTGTTCAGAAGATCATCAGAGAGTGGCTGGAATTGCACAGAGAACCAATGATGCTTAAGAAAAAAATTTATTAAAAAAACTTAAGCTGGTGCTCTTTAAGAGGATTTTAAGAGGAATGTCATTTAAGTCACACAAGACTTAAACGTAGAAGTTATTTATTTTAGAATACACTTTTGAGGGCCGGAGCGATAGCACAGTGTGTAGGGCGTTTGCCTTGCACACAGCCGACCTGGGTTCGATCTCCGGCACCTCATGTGGTTCCCCAAGCACCGCCAGGAGTGATTCCTGGGTGCAGAGCCAGGAGTAACTTCTGAGCATCGCTGGGTGTGACCCAAAAAGCAAAAAAAAAAAAAATTACTTTTGAGAGCCGCACCCTTTGGTGCTCAAGACTTACTCCTGGCTTTGCACCAAGAGATTACTCCTGGTAAGTTTGGGTGAATCATATGGAATGTCCTTCCCTCTGTGCTGATTCTCCAGCCACCCAAAAATAAAATTTCTTGAGCTGAGGAGATAGCTCAAAGGAGGGGCCTATTTGTTTTGCATGTGGGAACCTTGGGTTTGATCCCTGATGGGGCGGGCACCGCTGGAAGCAGCCCTGAGTCAGGAATATCCCTCAAGCACACTTGTATGTGACCCTCAAAAGAACTATATGCAACGCTGGGACAAGCCTCACCCATGAGTGAACCTGCAGGAAAAATTAGGTATGCAGGAATTGTGACTGAAAACTCCAGCTCAACAGAACTGGAAATGGGTTACCCCCGCCCATCTCCCCCTGTTTCCGGTAGCTTGACAGTTCACCCCCCACAGGCTGCGGCTGGCACCATATAATCTCATTAATGGCCATGATCCAGAGACTTAATATAAATCTCCTGGAAGAAAGTGCAGACAGAACTCAACCGCCGCCATGCTCACAGCTGTTTTCCACATGCTCATCCAAGCCTCACCAAGAAGTGAATCTATTCCTGGACACCTCATACTTTACACCACCAATATACCAAGAGTCACCCACCACATTTGATGGAGTTTAAAGTAGAAGGCAACCGATCTTAGCAGGAAATATACTAATAGAGATATAGATATTAGCACACAAGGCTCAACCTTTAACAACATTTTACTAATCTCATAGCAGGGCTTAATGGCTCCTGGGTGAAATATAACAATATTCACACACTTTTCTCTGACAAACCTTTTTTGGATCATTTTAGCAGATTATTCATAACAAGCAATATAAAATAAGTTTGGTTCTGCTTTGGGGGCAGGGTTTGGAGTTCGGGGTGGAAATATGGTGGGAAGATGTCATAGTGGTGGGATTGTTGTTCAAATAATAAATGTAACAGATATTGTGAACAGTTTTATTAAAAATGAAATGCATTTAAAAAACTATATACATATGTATGCATATATATACACAGATATGCATCTATATTTTTTTCCTGGAGAAACTTTATGTGGAATACATATTGAGGTATATTTGTGTGGTCATAGAACTGTCAAGAGAGAAATTGTCTGGTTCTGCTTTGAAGTTGGAGGTCACTTTATGACTTTTTCTACTGCATGAAAAATCTTCCTCCTTAGAGAATACCAGGATGTCTTCAAAACATTTCTTCTCTGAGCACACAGTAGGTACAAAACAGGTCTTCCACAGGCAGGTACATTGTGTGCACCCGGGTCATTGCTCCAGGGTTGCTCCCCCCTCCTCTGCATGCGACCTACTCAGTCCGGACATTGCTTCTTGCACTGACTCAGTCCTGAGTGCCCATCTAAGAGCTCAGCTCGCCGCCTGATGGTTTTAGTCCTTTGCCTCCTGTTTGTAAACTGCGAGATCGTTAGAAAGGAGACAGTGCTAATTCTCCTCTCTGCCTTAGGAATGTATTTTTGAGCCTTTCCTGATAATTCTATTAATATATGTCTATGTAAACACCTTTAAAACAGCCAGACAGTGAGGAATGGGGACGGGAGGCAGGGAGCAGAGTTGGTCTAGAGGTAATTATAGGGACAGTGTGCAGGGTCTTGTGGCACTTTGGCTGGGGGGGGTGGGGGGATTGTGCAGTAACTTTGTATATTAATACCATAAATGTTAACACTGGTGTAACTGTGTTACATAAACTATGATAATAGTAAAAAGTAAATCATAAAAATAAAATTCTCTTAGTTTAAATTTTTTTTTTGGTTGGGTTTTGGGCCAAGTGGTGCTCAGAAGCTATTCTTGACTCTGCTCAAGAGTGACCCCTGCGGTGCTTTGGGGGGGACCATATGTGATGCCAGGGGGGATTTGAACTGGGGCAGCCACACACAGGGCAAGTGCCTTACCTCCGAACTGGTTCTCCAACCTTTTGGTTTTAAATTTTCCCCCCAAGACATAGAAGGACTGCATTCATTTGTGGAATATAAAGTAACATAATGGGAGACTAATACCCAAGGATAGTAGAGATAGGGACCAGGGGGGTTGCTCCATGTCTTGGAAGCTGGCCTCACATGCTGGGGGAAAAGGCAGCTCAGATAGAGAAGGGACCACCAAGTAAAGGATGCTTGGAGGGCCCGCTCAGGATGGGAGATATGTGCTGAAAGTAGACTACAGACCAAACATGATGGCCACTTAATACCTGTATCGAAAACCATAACACCCAAAAGGAGAGAGGGAGTAAAAGGGAATGTGCCTGCCACAGAGGCTGGGGAGGGGGGAATTGGGGGTAGGGATACTGGGAACATCGGTGGTCTAGAATGGGCACTGGTGGAGGGATGGGTACTCTTATCATTGTATGACTGAAACTTAAACATGAAAAATTTGTAAGTCTGTAACTGTACCTCACGGTGAGTCATTAAAAAATAAAATAAATAATTTTTTCCCCGAGCACTCCATGACTCTTGGAACATGTCACATAATTTAGAGGACTGTCACTGCCACTGTCACTGTCCTCCCGTTGTTCATCGATTTACTCGAGCAGGCCCAGTAACATCTCCATCGTGAGGACTATAAAGTAAAATTTTATTTCTGCCTTCCCATCTTAGGACCCATGTGTAAGCCCTCCATAATCAGTGTTGATTCTTTGATAGAGAACTCTGTGGTTTTGCTTTTGCTTCCTCCCACCCTTCTAAATTTATGGAAACATATCGGGTTGGTTGCTTGAGGAAGATCAAAGTTGGTTCTGTTGAAGTTGAGGGGAGACAATATCAAAGTATCTGACTAGGGTGTAATAACTCTTAGTTATTAAGGAACGCGACTGATGCAGGGCAGAGAAGGAAAAGGGGGATGAGACCAGAAGGTCTTTCTGTTCTGCGGAACTTGTGTTGCTACTCATTAAATAGGTAATGGTGGCCAGTTCCACCTCTGTCCTCTCCAGCCCGGGTGTGCAACTCTCACAGAGGTAGGTACGCATTCAATTCTCAGCTCAGTGTTACAGTCTACAATGAAATTGCAGGTATGTGTCCTCTGTTATTGCCATAAACATTCCATCATCAAAGGGCCATTTGGTTTGCACTTTAGCAAATCAGGTAATTTCAAGGATTAAAGAATGTTCCTTTCTCCCTACCCATATTTTAAAATTTAGCAATAGGGAGTTGGGGCTGAGCCAACACTAATGTAAATATTTATGTTGCTTTTGCCTCTCTGTTATTTGCTGTTGAATTTATTTAGGGTCTGAGGTTCCTTGCTACATGTCCAAACTAGGGTTGGAGCTGAGGAGTGCGGTAGTCTTTGGATGTCAGGGAACAGCAAGAGAGTAATGTCCTCTCTCCCCTGCTGAGGATTGGATTCCTCCAGTGCTCTGGCTGCTATCCCAGCTCATTTGCAGGCAGGAACTCAACTTGGACTTTATGGCAGCAAAGTGCAAATTGCCTGTTCTAGTTAAGGCTGTAGGTTCAGCCATGCTCCTAACCGAATAAGGTCGCCGGGTTTTCCTCCACTGGCAGAGATCTGAATCTCTGTTCTTATCACAGACTGCATTATAGCCGAGGCCAAGTCCATGGCCTTCCCTGTTGGCTTTCCCTTCTAGGGTCAGGAGAAAGTGACTCTTGTCTTACAGAGGAAATTTGTTGTTCAGTATGTATAGATACCTGAAGATTGTTCTCTGGAAAGCACTGTAGCAACCCTTTATCTCTCTTGGTTCTAAGCGGGAGTTGTAGAACCGTCAGCACTGATGGATGTGCCTTTGCTCTGACCCCTCTTTACAGAACCCACACTGCAGTAAAAATTGCTCCTCGCTACAGCGCACCTGTAATCCATGTCCTGGATGCCTCTAAGAGTGTGGTGGTGGTAAGTGTGGGACCTTGCATTTACTTCAGATGTGTGGTAAAGAGAGAGTAGAGAGAGAGAGAGAGAGGGAGAGAAAGAGAGAGAGAGAGAGAGAGAGAGAGGAGAGCGAGCATTAGGAATTAGGGGGCAATCAAGGTCTACTGTTTGAAAAAAAAATCAATTGTTTGTTTGTGGCCAATCAATCATATTTTAAAATTAAAAAAAGCAAAACGTGAAAGAATAGTCTAGGCCTCTGGCTTCTCATGGTATCCCTGGCAGGAGTGGTGGCAAGTGTGGCTTGTGCTTTTGGAGACTTGAACCAGAAGCAGGGGTTCTGGGGTTCTGGTCAGAGTTAACATGAATTGCCCAATACCTTTTTTTTTTTTTTTTTTTTTTGCTTTTTGGGTCACACCCAGCATTGCATAGGGTTATTCCTGGTTCTGCTCTCAGAAGTCACTCCTAGCAGTGCTGGGGAACCATATGGGATGCTAGAATCAAACCCAGGTCAGCTGCAAGACAAGTGTCCTGTCTGCCAAACTATCTCTAGGGCTTCCTAATCTTTATTTTAAACTATACAGTCTGTGACAATTTGTTATCTGTGCTATTTGTTTTTTCTTTTGTTGTGTGTTTTGTTTTATGGGGTTTTTGTTTTGAGTTTTTGTTTTCTTTTGGGGCCACACCCGGTGATGCTGAGGGGTTATTCCTGGCTCATGCACTCAGGAATTACTCCTGGTGGTGCTTGGGGGACCATATGGGATGCTGGGAATCGAACCCAGGTCAGCCACGTGCAAGGCAAACACCCTACCTGCTGTGCTATCGCTCCAGCCCCTGCCCGGTACCTTTGACCTTGACGTGAATCCAGAGAGATTCCAGCCATGGCAAATATGATTAGATACCTAATTTTAACTCCATGCTAGAGCTAAATGGAATGTAGAACTTCTTTTCTTTAAAAAAAAAAAAACTATTTTGAGATAGAAAAACATTTAACCTGGAAGTGGGCCAGTTGACTTTACCCAGAGGCTGAAAAAACATTGACTGGATATTCAAAACCCAGAGTTCGAGATTCTTTCCTCAGTAAATTTAAAGAACCTAAGGGCTCTCGCTTTCCTTTCTTCTTGCTGACCACGTAGCCCCATGGTTTCCATCTCTGTTGTAACCACAACGCCTTGTTTTCAGGGGCTAGCTTATCTGGGAACTGAGTATGGTATGAGTAAGAGCCAACTAGTCCCTTCTCCTCATAGGCCCGACTTTTGGTTCCCATCCAAGGGATGTTTCTAGAAAAGCCCCAGGTTTGGTCGAGCCTTCCCATGCTGCCCATGTGGAAAGTTGCTGGGAGGCTGCTGATTTGTGGGAATTCTTGGCAATGGCATGCAGCTTGAGGTAGGGTAGCAATCTTCCCAGAGCCATGTTCCAAAAGGATTCCTCCACGACTATGAGTTTACTTGTATGTAAGTTATACAGCAATTGCTAATACTTAAAAAAAAATCTGTAGAGTGCTGGTGACAGTACTAACTGTGCTTTACATGGATTATTTTACTTGATCCTCATAAAATAGATAGTTTTGTTTTCTCCCATTTTAGAGATGAGGAACAGAAGAAGTGAGGAGATCAGTAATTCTCCTGAGGCCACACATCTCTTGTGTGTTTCAAGTGCTGATGGAGATGTGCTTACTCTAAGCTACATTCAATTTTTGTTTTGTTTTTGTTTTGGGGGGCACCCCCAGCAATGCTCAGGGCTTTCTCCTGGCTCTGTGCTCATTGACCACTCTTGGCAGGACTCAGGGGACCATGTGGGGTACCGGGATCAAATCTGGGTTGGTCAAGTGTGAGGCAAACACTCTACTCGCTATGCTATCATTCTGGCTCCCTGAATGGCTAAAATACAGTAGCAACTTACACCTAAGGATGAATCTCACTTCCTGTTCTTTCTTAAATAAAAACCAAGGTACCAATATTGGGTTCTTTGAAAATTATAAAATCTATTTTCAGCTTATTCTTTCTCATGCCAGTGTCTTTAAATTTTCCTTTATTTATTAAAAAGAGATGTTGATTTTGATTAAACCAGACTGGATTCATAAATTGCATGTGCAAATAAATGATTCCTACCGTTTATTTTTCAAATAGTGATTCCTGTATCTTATATTTGAGTTGCATTTCATAAAGTACTTATATAAGGCCCATGGTGAGACCTTTTTTAAAGTCTCATTACCATCTTCATATGCTAATGAATGGCTGTACAATTCCATTTGGAGATCAGTCTTTTGGACCGTTTAAGTACAGGGTGACTCACCCCTCTAGGGAGGGGAAGGACTTGAGCTGAGGAGGAGCTGGCCTTCAGTTCCATTTCGAGGATAAACTCCTTCAGCATCTTGAAGCTGAAAGGCAGGCAGAGAACGAGCAAGGCATGGGCGTCGTGTTCTTTATGGTTTAGGTCAGCTGGACAGTTCCACTTCTCTCATACAAAGAAAATGCCCACATGTTTATATGACTCAAGCATGTGGCTGATAAGCAATTATTTGGATAAGTGCTAGTGACATTTTTTTCATGGATCATTGGTACAGGTTGTTTAGGTGACTTGTTGGTTCAGTCTGACTTTAATTGCATGAATATGACCTGGGACGTGCTCTGACTTAATTCCCCCATATATTTGAAAGATTCCAGCTTTATGGCTACAATACAGTAGCAACTTACACCTAAGGATGAATCTCACTTCCTGTCTTTTCTTAAATAAAAACCAAGGTACCAATATTGGGTTCTTTGAAAATTATAAAATCTATTTTCAGCTTATTCTTTCTCATGCTATTTGCTGTGACAATTCAAAAAGAAAAGGAGTGGTCGGTGGGAAAACATAAGAACAGTGATATTGTGGAAGGTGGGTCAGTGCTCAAAATTGGCCCTAAACTTGTTTCTATCAAACAAGTCATCCTGGGCAGTGAGGGGCTTGTCACTGTTACTCTCGGAGCAAGAGGGCTGTGTGGGAATGTGGAAGGTGCCAACACACCATTGCTTTATATGCTCTCTATATACACATGGTGCCTGTGCTAGGGTATTAGTACAGTCTTTGAGTGTTAATTAAGGAAATTGAGTTTTATCTTCTCATCGTTTCATGTCTAGTTGAATGCAAATGTTTTATTATTTTTAAATTTAGCACAGCGGGTAGGGCGTTCGCCTTACAAGCGGCCAACATGGCCGACCCGAGTTCGATTCCTCCGCCCCTCTCGGAGAGCCCGGCAAGCTACCGAGAGTATTCGATATGCCAGACACAGTAACAACAAAGTCTCCAATGGAGACGTTACTGGGCCCGCTCGAGCAAATCGACGATCAACGGGAGGGCCTTTACCTTTACTTTATATATATATACACACATAAATATGTATGTGTGTGTGTGTGTGTGTGTATATAGAGAGAGAGTTTTATTTTTGGTTTGGAGGCCACACCCAGTGATACTCAGGGCTTACTCCTGGCTCTGCACTTGGGGAACACTCCGGGCAGGGAATATGTGGGATGCCAGGGGTTGAACCCAGGTGGACCGTATGCCAGGCAAGTACCCTACCCAGTGTACTATTGTTCCACCCCCTTGCAAGAGTGTTTTAAAATACTCCTTTACCTGTACTTTGGAGAGTTCAGGAGTTGTTTTTGTTTAGCTCTGCTGGGTTTCCTCAGTGAAAACTTGGTTGAGGTCAGGCTTGAGTGCAACTAGCAGTACTGTGATGTGAGTGCCTTTGGGGGTTCTATTTTTAAGCTGGCCTTCTCTGATTTTATTTCTAAACAAGATGATGGTAATGATTGGATGTGGAACACTTCACAACTTTGTGACTTTGAGTGCCGTCTCTGTATAGAGGCTACGCTAATCTTTTTTGTAGCATTGTAATTTTAGCGTATGGGCTGAACTGAGCATTGTACTCACTTTTTTGTAATTTATTCAATTGTTATACTTAGAAAATTTACATAGGATCATAGATAGTTGAAGCTAGCAACTGGACTTCAACCACTATCTAGTCTAACTTCTGCAACACAGACAATGTTATTCAGCTCCGTACCTTGCTGTATGTTAGAAATCCCTTCTGAAAGATGCAGTGATGAGGCAATGCTGTAGTGTTTGAACTGATATATGCATTGGTAACAGCCATATCTTCCTTTCTTTGTAATTGTTTTTAACTTTACTAGTAGCTATTCTTTTTTCAATATTAAAGAATATTTAGAGAGTCCAGTTTTATAATTTATTGAGTTAGTCTCACAATTCTCATATGATCTGTTTCTTATTTTCTTTCTTTTTTTTTTTTTTTTGGTGGCGGGAGGGCCATACTCAACAGTATGCAGGGCTTACTCCTGGCTTTGTGCTTAGGGATCACTCCTTTTGGGCTCAAAGGACCACATGGGGTGCTGGGGATCAAACCCAGCTTGGCTACCTGCAAAGCAAGTGGTCTAGCCACTGTACTATTGCTCCAGCACCAAAAGCAATTTACTAATCTTCTGTTTGTTTGTTTGTTTGTTTGGGGGACACACCCAGAGATGCTCAGGGCTTATTCTTGGCTCTGTACTCAGGAATCATTTCTGGTGATCTTGGGGGACCATATGGGATACCAGGGACGGAACCACTGCAAGGCAAACGCCTTACCTGTTGTACGGTCTCTCCAGCCCCAATCCCTTTCTTTTCTTATTTTGATAGACGCTCACAGTTGAGCATGTAGTCCTCCAGCAAATCTTTGGGAAGCATGTAATTTGTATGTGCCAAGCACTATCACGGTCACGGGCACGGTCCTCCCGTTATTCATCGATTTGCTCGAGCAGGCCCAGTAACGTCTCCATTGTGAGAGTTGTTGTTACTGTGTTTGGCATATTGAATATGTCATGAGTAGCTTGCTGTGCGGGTGAGATTCTCTCGGTAGCTTGCCACCTCTGAGAGGGGAGGAGGAATTGAACCTGGCTCAGCCAGGCTGCCTCTGTGGCAGGGCATTCCCTTTTGTTCTGTCTCTCCTTTTGGGTGTTGTGGTTTGCAATAGAAGTATTGAGTGGCCATCATGTTTGGTTTGTAGTCTGTTTTCAGCATGCATCTCCCATCCCGAGCGGGCCCTCCTAGCACCCTTTACTTGGTGTTCCCTTCTCTATCTGAGCTGCCTTTTCCCCCAGCATGTGAGGCCGGCTTCGAAGCTATGGAGTAATCCCCCTGGTCCTTATCTTTACTATTCTTAGGTGTTAGTCTCCCATTCCGTTACTTTATATTCCACAAATGAGTGCAGTCTTTCAATGCCAGGTCTACTTTTTAAAGTTAACATTTTGCTGCCGTTCCATGCAGGAATGAGCAGAGTTGTGAAGGGATTGACAATGTTGACATGGGAGAGCTCAATGAAGGATGTGCTTTATCTCCTTTTGCTGTCCTGTGGTTACGAACTTTGATCTTGCATTTTCAGTGTTCTCAGCTATTAGATGAGAATCTGAAGGATGACTACTTTGAGGAGATCACAGAAGAATATGAAGACATTAGACAAGACCATTATGAGTCTCTCAAGGTAAGTGACAGACGGATCTTTGCTTGTTGGAGTTATAAAATGTTTCTACAGCTTTTTATGTGACTTTACTATTTTTTAGAATGATCATTTTAGGGATGTTTTGTTTTCTAGCTCAATTCAGAGTTCTTCACTTTTCCCCATAATTTTTTCTTATATGAAGATTAATTCTAATTATTCAATTTATTGCATACCTAGTAGGTATGCGATACATACCCATATTAGGTACTGTGCTCAATACTGGAAATTATGAGAATGAACAAAACATGAGCTTATTTCTAGCAGAAAATGAACTGAGACAGTTTACTGAAATGACCTCTCCTAGAGACCCCAGGTTTTGGTTTTGGTTTTGGTTTTTCAGTTTGTTTGATTTTAGGGCCACACGTGGAAGTACTCAGAGCACAATCTTGGCCGTTTGATCAGGGATCACTGCTAGGGTCATCGGGGGACTATCCGGGTCAGCCACATGCAAAGCAAGTGCCTTATCTGCTGTGCTATCCCTCCAGCTCTAACCTCTAACCCTTGTTTTTGAGGGAACAGTGAAGATATTACACAGGTCCATTGTCAGCCTCTCTCCCTGGTTTCCTCTCATGACTGTGCAGTGTCCCAGGGAATCCATAGAGTTGGCATAAGTACTCTTGAGACATTTTGTGGGGGGTATTTCTTGGTTCACTGTGTCAGAGGCTGGGTTATTGTGTGGGTGAATAGGCAAGTGAACTGAAATAATGAATGAAAAGAAGACAACTGACATTCCTGAGTCGTTGGCATCATTATTTTTCACAATATTAAACATAATTATTTATTTATATTAATGCTTGGGCCACACCAGCAATGCTGAGGCCTCCTCCTGGCTCTTTACTCAGGGATTACCCCTGGCAGGGCTCAGGAAACCATATGTGGTGCTGGGGGTAAAACCTAAGTCAGCTGTGTGCGAGGTAAGCACTCTACACCCTACTCAGAAGCCCAGGGATTCATTTCTTTCTTTCTCTCTTTTTAAAAAATTTCTTTTGGTTTCTGGGGCATACCCAGACATGCTCAGGGACTGCTCCTGGCTCTCACGCAGGAATCATTCTGGCAGTGCTCAGGAGACCATATGGGATGATGGCCATGTGCATGGCAAGCACTCTACCTGCTCTACTATCTCTCCTGCCCCCAAGCATTAATTTCTTTTCTTTCTTATTTTTTTTTTGTAGGAGTACTGCTATTTATTCAGCAACTGATTAGCTGATTGAATTGGGCATGAACTCCACCTTAATTTTTTTTCTTTATTTTTTTTTCTTTTTTATATTTATTTATTGAATCACTGTGGGAAAAGTTACAAAGCTTTCAGGTTTAAGTCTCCATCATACCATGATCAAACAGCTCTCCCTTCACCAGTACTCATTTTTCACCACCAAGAATCCCAGTATACCCCCCTCCCACACCTCCAAATGCCTGTGAGGCAGATGATTTCTACTTAACTCTTCTCTACATTGATTACATTCATTATTTTGACAAAAGATGCACCATTATTGTTTAGAATTTCTCCCCAACCAATCAGAATTCCTGAAAAGGCATTGTGAAATATTTTGTTTTCTATAGCTAGTTATGAGAATCATATAATGTCATGCGGCCATGATTTTGGATTTCTGCAAAGAGCCAGATAATTACGAGATTGGTTTCTGTGTGTCCGGTGTTATGGCTGTGCCAGAGAGCCGCTCGTTGGGGGTAACTCATGACCTCAGTAGGGCGTGAAGGACGTGCCGGTACCGCCCCCCTTCCCATGAGACTGCAGTTGCCCCATCACTGCTGGCTCGTACCTGACTTTCCTATAAGCTCTGAGGCGGTGGCCACCTTGCTGCCAGGGGGGAAAAAGGTGGAAGGGAGCAACACCCTTTCCCTCCCAGGGAGGCATGGCGCCGTAGTTTAATGCATGGTCCATTCACTTTTCTGCCGCAAGCTGCTGGACTCTGGCCTGAGTCCTTTTGCCTCTGGAGTCATGGCCATGCCAGAGAGCCGCTTGTGGGGGGCAACTCATGATCTTGGTAGGGCGTGAAGGACGAGCCGGTACCGCCCTCCTTCCCATGAGACTGCAGTTGCCCCGTCACCGCCTGCTCATACCTGGCTTTCCTATAAGCTCTGAGGTGGTGGCTACCTTGATGCCAGGGGGGAAAAAGGCGGAAGGGAGCAACACTCTTTCCCTCCTGGGGAGGCATGGCACCGTAGTTTAATGCATGGTCCATTCACTTTTCTGCCGCAAGCTGCCGGGTTCTGGATTAAGTCCTTTTGCCTCTCAGAGAGCGCTTGTGGGGGGCAACACGTGACCTCAGTAAGGCATGAAGGACGAGCCAGTACTGCCCTCCTCCTGAGACTGCAGTTGCCCCGTCACCGCCAGCTCATACCTGGCTTTCCAATACGCTCTGAGGTGGCAGCCACCTTGCTGCCGGGGGTGGGGGGGGGGGGGGGAGGGAGGGAAGGCAGAGGGGAGCAACACCCTTTACCTCCTGGGGAGGCATGGCACCGTAGTTTAACGCATGGTCCATTCACTTTTCTGCCGCAAGCTGCCAGGCTCTGGATTCAGTCCTTTTGCCTCTGGAGCCATGGCTGTGCCAGAGAGCCACTTGTGGGGGGCAACTCATGACCTTGGTAGGGAGTGAAGGACGAGCCGGTGCTGCCCCCCTTCCCATGAGACTGCAGTTGCCCCGTCACTGCCTGCTCATACCTGGCTTTCCAATAAGCTCTGAGCCGGCAGCCACCTTGTATGTAGTCCAGATGCATTTCTGCCAAAAGCCGCTGGGTTTCAAGATTTGTTTCTGAGTCTCTGGTATCATGGCTATTAATCAGCTTGATCAGGAGCCAGAGAGGTCGTTTGTAGGCAGCGACTCGGGGTCTCATTGAGATGGGGAGAAAGAGTCGTCTCCACCCCCATGTGGTGAGGCCCCGTGTGTCTTGACACTGCAGGCCCAAACCTGACTGTCCAGTGGCCTCTGGAGGATGGTGGTCACCAGGCTACCAGGGGGAACAGGCCAAGGCACGAAACCTATTCCCACCTGGAGTGGCCCAGCACCAGTAACCTAATGCAGGATGCATTTCTGCCAAAAGCCTTTGGGTTCCGAGATTCATTTCTGAGACTCTGGGATCATGGCCATTAAGCAGTTCGATCAGGAACCAGAGAGGCCATGCCTCCAATTATATAGCTGAGCCAAAGGTGGTTTGTGGGTGTGTCTCCCACATACCTAACTTTTGGCCGTTTACTTTCTTGGTAAACTTTGCCCCAAGTATTTGGGGTCTAGCCAAAGGCACAGCAGCAATTTGGGGGTATCTGAAAGTCTGACATTGCCATCAGGCTGCTGATGCACTCACCTCACAGGTACAGATTGACCTACTGGCAGCACCATACCCCCCTCTTTTCTTTTTTTTGAGGGGGGTGGGGGTCACACCCAGCGATGCTCAGGAGTTACTCCTGGCTCTGAGCTCAGGAATTACTCCTGGTGGTGCTTAGGGGACCATATGGGATGCCGGGATTGAATCTGGGTTGGCCGCGTGCAAGGCAAATGCCCTACCGGCTGTACTATCACTCTGGCCCCCAAGCATTAATTTCTTACAAAGCTTATGTACTGGCTTTCTTGAGCATATCTTCATAGCAGCATCTAAAAAGCTGACAGTTTCTGACTAAACAATTTTTCCCTCCCTTAGGAGAGAAGATACTTAACATTAAGTCAAGCCAGAAAAAACGGTTTCCACATTGACTGGCTGTCAGAGCCTCACCCAGGTCAGTTTGGCGATTGCTTTGAGAAAGGCTGTAGGTAGCAATCATGAGCTGAAGAGATGTTTGCATTTAGTCAGCGTTAACCCTGTATCCAGCCAGAAACTCTGAGTGGTGTATAACCATGATGAGTGACAATGATGATAGAAAATGAAAATAAGCAGATCTCCATCTACAGGGAACTGAAGCCTGTCCTGGTTAGGTCCTCGGCAGCTGGGTCCTTGACACAGCTCTGCAGTGACTGTGACTATTTTAATCTGATGAGACCGTTTTGGGTAATACCTTGAAAGGTTACCAGGATTCTATTTCTGACCTGAATTCTATGCCCATACACTGTGCTGTAATGGAGTGGGCACCTCCCACCCTGCTTCATTCCCTCCCCCTCCCTCCCCACCTCAAACTAGAAGCAAGTCTAAGAGACCCGTCTCAATGGTCTGGTTTGATGCTGCTGGGTCTGCAAGCAGGTCCGATGCAGATGTGGGTCAGATGCTGAAAAAGCTCCCATACATAGAGCAAAGCAGGGCCACTGTTTTTCCCTATTTACCACCTCCCTCTCTCTCTGTGTGTGTGTCTCTGTGTATGTCTCTCTCCTCTCTCTCTCTATCTCTTTCCTTTCATCTTTCTCTTTTGTTTCCTCATTCTGTTTTTTTTCTAGCCTCTTTTCTTGACTTGCTCAAGGATGGAATAAACTATAAGATGCTTTAACAGGCTCAAAGAGACACAAGATACAAATGCAAAATTGAGACAGGGTGAACACAGGTTGTATTAATCGAATCCAAATTTCCAAGGTAAAATCTCAAAATCCACTTTCATTGCTCGTGACATCTGTGTTGTTGTGCACATCTCCACGGAATTGTGCGGATCAGACTAAAAATGTAGGGTCTGGGTTCAGATTTTATTCCCACTGAGTGCTTCAGTGGAAGGAATACGGGACATGCTGCAGGGTGGGAGGCCAGGCTTCTGATTCCAGCTCTGCTCCTGGTTCTGTCTTTCCTCAGTGACCTGAAACAGTTTCTGATGTTTGAAACGGGAGTTGCTTGATGGAAATGTTACACGTATAAAACACTCTGTCAGAAACCTTAGGAAACTCAGAATCACTCCAATAGCCCAAGCAATATGTGTGTGTGTGTGTGTGTGTGTGTGTGTGTATACATATATGTGTGTGTACACACACATATGTCTTTTTCACTGTGAGATCGATAAAAATATCACAAGGAGATTGTTTTAACCAATCAAACATCCAAAACATTTCTTTGGGTAAACAGTGCTTGGCAAGTTTCTGGAATGATTGTCTGAGGGACAGCAAATCCTTGAGGCTCAGGCCTCAAAAGTGTTTTGATACCAGCCCAGTTTTAGACACTAAAAGTGAATAAAGGGATAAAGACGGCTTCTTCTCTCAAGGCCCTTTGATAGTTAAACCTCAAACAGATCTTCAACTCTGGAAGATAACACGTTTTAGAGTAACAGTCTTCCTTTTCTATGCAGTAGTACATTTCTCATCTGCTTTTCCAGAGCAGAAGAAACTTTATTTTGGTGGGGCTGGGGAGGTGCTCCCTGCTTGGGTGAGTGGGTGTCATTTTCGCTGAGACTCAGCCTGCCGGAGTGATCCACATATGACAGGTTTTTTTTTTTCCTTTTTGGGTCACATCTGGCCATGCTCAGGGATTATTCCTGGCTCTGCACTCAGGAATTACCCCTGACGGTGCTCAGGAGATCATATGGGATGCTGGGAATCTAACCCGGGCTGGCCACATGCAAGGCAAACACCCTACCCCCTGTGCTATTGCTTCAGCCCCTGCATCTGACAGTTGGGACTATAACCCAGCAATGTGGTGCTGCTCCAGCCCCTTGGTACTTGAGCTCATCAGACCATGCCTGGAGATGCTTGGGGGCTACACAGAGCCAGAGCTCAGACTTGGGGGTCTTGGACCTGCCAGCCACATGCTCCACCCCTTCGAGAAATCTCCCAGGGCCATCACAGAAGACTTTACCCAGGAGGATGGCTGTAATCTTTTTCAGTTACCAAACAGAGTGACATAAGCGAGTATAAAGAAGGGGTCTGTGTAATAAATTACTGACTAGGAACCAACAGGACAGGGTCCTGTGAACATATATTGAGAAGGCTGTGATTTTGCATGCAGGATTAAGCTTCTTCTCCTTTTTCTTTACTTTTCCTTTGCTCTCCTTGACTATCTCATAAGAGAAAAATTCTCCTGAGATGCTGTGTGTTATCTCGGAGCATCTGAGATTGGTGTAGTGTCAGTTCTCTGGTCCCAGAGGTCCCTGCTCCCCACAGAACAGAAAAACAAAAGTGTGAAGGTGAGACAGCAAGTTGGCGGCCAAGTTGTCTGACGCTTGTGACCCCCGCCTTGGGCTTGGTGGGAGATATAGCCCGCCTGCCTGATGGCCTCATCTCTGAGGAGGTGGATAATGAACCATTTTCTGAGTACTCAGATATACCCACTAGCTACTTTAAAATGCCCTGCTCCCTCCAAATAAAGGGTGTTGGGAGGATCCTCCCAGGATGCTGAAAGTAGACTGTAGACCGAGTATGATTGCCTCTCAGTGCCTCTTTTGCAAACCACAGCACCCAGAAGTAGAGAGAGAACAAAGGGGAATGCCCTGCCACAGAGGCAGGGTGTGATGGGAAGGATGGGGGGTGGGAGGGGTTACTGGGATCAGTGGTGGTGGAGGATGGGCAGTGGTGTAGGGATGGGTACTTGAACATTGTAAAATTGAAAACCAAGCACAAAAATTTGTAAGTCTACAACTGTACCTCAAGGTGTTTCACTAATAAAAATAAATAAATAAATTTAAAAATTAAATAAAATGCCCTGCTCCCTATAAAAGAATGTATCTGTAGTGAAAGTTCCCATGTATTTTAGAGTGCCCTTATGTGTACAAGTGACGATTGATCCAGGTCTTTATTTTCTCTTGGACCAGGGACAAGGGTGGGTGGAAGAGCTGCAGGAAGAGTTTCCTGGGGCAGCATAAGTCAGTCAGCCTCCTGGAGACTGTTAGTTCATGCTCACCTAAGATTCCCTGCAGAATCCAGAGTGATCATTTAAAGTTTCCGTCTTTCCGAACATGATGGCCACTTAATACCTGTAACCAAAACACCCAAAAGGAGAGAAAGAATAAAAGGGAATGTGCCTGCCACAGAGGTGGGTGGGGGGATGGAGTGGGGGTGGCGGGAGGGATACTGGGAACACTGGTGGTGGAGAACAGGCGCTGGTGGAGAGACGGGTACTCGATCATTGTATGACTGAAACGTAAGCATGAAAGTAACTGTACCTCACGGTGATTCATTAAAAATTTATTTTAAAATGAAGTTCTGGTCTTCGTGAAACAAATCGTATGCTTGGCAGGGAGGCGGTACTGGGAAACAGCTGACCCAGAACGGTCTCTGGCAGGCAGCTCTGGCGCTGGTGCTGATGGTGATACTTATTTTCTCCAGTGAAGCCCACATTTCTTGGGACCCGGGTCTTCGAGGACTATGACCTGCAGAAGCTGGTGGATTACATTGACTGGAAGCCTTTCTTTGATGTCTGGCAGCTGCGGGGCAAATACCCAAATCGAGGCTTTCCCAAGATCTTTAACGACAAAACTGTAGGTTCGTTAATTAAGTTCTTCCTTCGTGTTCTCATAGTTGAGACATAATAAGAGAACAAGTGGTGATCTGTGCATTTGGATTATATGGGCTATTATATGTTGTCTCGGAGAGCCCGGCAAGCTACCGAGAGTATTCGATATGCCAAACACAGTAACAACAAAGTCTCCGATGGACACGTTACTGGGCCCGCTCGAGCAAATCGACGATCAACGGGAGGGCCTTTACCTTTACCTTTTACAATATGCTGCAAGATATTATTTACTGACTTGTCTCTTTAATACTTTTTAAATTGCTCAGTCATTCCTTACAGACTAAGCTTGGCATTTATGTATTCTTTTTTTTATTTTGGTTTTTGGACCATGTCTAGTGATGCTCAGGGGTTACTCCTGGCTCTGCACTCAGGAATTACTCCTGGTCGGGTTGGATGACCATATGGGGTGCCGGGAACCAAACCCAGGTCGGCCACATACAAGGCCAGTGCCCTGCTCACTGAACTGTCATTCTGGCCCCTCATTCTTTAAGAAATATTTATTGATATCAGTTATGTAGTAGATGCTTTGTTTGCCACTGGAGATAAAAGACAATTAAATTCTTGCTGTCTGGAACTTTGCTAGATGGTATAGTGGACAGCAGTGGATAGCATGCGTGTAGCATTCAGATTCCTGCTTCAGAGCCAACCCCAGGCTTGCCTGCCACACAGTGATAAGACAGACCTTTCAGCCTGGGAGGTCGGGAAGACTTCCTGGAAAAGTAGTGTTTGAACAGCACTGTGGAGATTATGGGCTGGAGTGATAGTACAGCGGGAGGGCATTTGCCTTGCGCACAGCCAGCCCGGCCGAGCCGGGTTTGATTCCTCCGCCCCTCTCGGAGAGCCTGGCAAGCTACCGAGAATATTCAGTATGCCAAACACAGTAACAAGAAGTCTCACAATGGAGACGTTACTGGGCCCGCTCGAGCAAATCGATGAACTACAGGAGGACAGTTTTGTTTTGTTTGTGGAGATTAAATGGGAGCTGTTGAGTCTGGGACTGGGGACAGGAGGCTGTGTTGGAGAAAAGGCTATTCAGGCTAGAGGAGATAGAGTGAGAGGCACAGGCAGATATATGCCTGTCAGGGGAACTGCAAGGAGTTGATTGTGCCTGGCGCATTAGGGAGAAGGATTTGGGTCACTGACTCAGCAAAATGGTTGAGTGGGTAACGTGCTACCCGCACCCCCAAACCTAGGCCAGTCAAAGAGTAGCCAGATCAGAGCAGGGTGGATGGGGTGGACTGGGAGAAGACAGGGGGCTAAGTCATAGCCCTTGCCAGCTGCCAGCTGCCAGCTTACTGGATGTGGTGTGCCTATTAGGTCATTGTGTCTCAGCAGCCACAGCGAGGAAGAAGACCCTAGTTTTGCCTGCTCTGGGGTGACCTCAGATAGCATTACTCTGGCCAGATAATTCTGGACTGGCCACAGACTTGACAGAAAGCACTAGAGACCCCATGGTCCTCTCTGCGGGAGGGAAGGATGACTGTGTCGGAAACCAAAAGGCAGGTGGGAGCTTGGCCCTCACGGTGCTCATGGGGATGTGCGGGGCGCCGAGCAGGGTGGGGTTGGCAACTTCTCAGAGAGTCCCATGTCCCCTGAGGTCACTGTGAGGTCAGTGGGAGTGTATGTGCACAAAGGCACATGGGAGATGGGAGGAACTGGCCCGCTTCGCTTCACTGACAGACGGCGCAGGGAGCCGCGGATTTGGCGCTCTGCCTTTCTTAAGTGGTTTGAGCCGGGGAAACAGACTATGAGAGCTGCACTTAGCAGGAACCACTGAACTCGCATCAGCTCCACTGTACCAGTGGCAAATAAATAGCGAGTGGGCGCTGGAGCGATAGCACAGTGGATAGGATGCTTGCCTTGTATGTGGCTGATGGCTGACCCGAGTTCAATTCCTGGCATCCCATATAGTCCCCCCCCAAGCACTGCCAAGAGTAATTCCTGAGTGCATGAGCCAGGAGTAACCCCTGAGCAATGCTGGGTGTGACCCCAAAAAGAAAAAAAATACTGAGGGAGTGTTTGAGAGTAAACCGAGGGTGAGGAGAGAAATGACTGAGCAGGCAGTGGTCTTAAAAGGAAGGGATTCGGGGTTGTTTATTGCAGGCATCTTCGCAATGTTTAGTTTTGTTTTTTTTCAATAGGTGAAGAGGCTAAAAAGGTCTATGAAGATGCCCAAAATATGCTGAAAGCACTGATTAAGCAAAAGAAACTCCAGGCCAGGGGCGTGGTTGGGTTCTGGCCAGCACAGAGCGTCCAAGACGACATTCTCCTGTATGCCGAGGACGCAGTTCCCCAGGCAGCCCAGCCCATCACCACCTTTTATGGGCTCCGGCAGCAGGTAGGAAGAGTTATTGACAGCCACCACGTATGCAGCTTTCACTTCCTGCCTTGAGTTCTGAAAAAAATGTGAAGTAAGCAAGCATGAACTTTGTGTAAATGGTAGCACCACATGCGCATCTTCCCCCAAATGACCAGTCAGAGGTCTCAACCCATGGCACTTGTGAGAATGTGGGAGAGATTAGGTGCCAGGCAAGTTCACAAGCTCCAGCCAGACTGGGATTATTGGGGGGAGGGAGAAGGAGGAGGGGATTGGGTTACTTCCAGCAGTGCTCAGGGATTCCTTCTGATCTCTGTGCTCAGGAACCAGTCCTGTGGTGCTTGGAGGAACACGTCGGATACCAGGGATCAAACCCAGGTCAGCTGCAGGTTGGGCAAATGCCTTACCCACTGTCCTGTCTCTCTGGCCCCCAACGTGGGGTGTTTACTTTTGTATTGAGCAGGTGCAGGAGAAGCACTGCCATGCTGAGAGTGTCCGGTACATATATATGAATGTTGTCTAGTTCATAAACACATTTGCATCCATGAGTATTAGTACAGTAGGTGGACAGGTCCCTAATCCAGAGGATGATAGTCTAGAACAAAGGTTTGCGGGATGTCTGCAGAGAAGTGAATGAAAGCAGGAGACTGTGCGGTGTTCACAGAGCTTAGCCAGGAGAGCCCAGCCCCAGCTCTTCTCTCTCACTCTGCCGGCTTCCTCTGAACAAAGGAAACAGGCTCTTCGCATCTTCCTCTTGTATGGCCCCACATGAAAAGATGCAAATAGCATAAGCATGTCCCTTTAGCTTCTGTGGAAAATAGCAGCTAATTAGCAGTCAGGGCCAGAATTCACTGGTAACTAAAATAGGGTTGCAATAAATTATTATTGCAAAGTTTTACTGCCATTTGCAGCCATTCAGAAGCGATAACACTGCTGCTTTTACCTATCAATGCAGTGTAAGCCATAGTCATAGATATTTGAGCCACAACTTTTCTGAAGGAATTCTTAAATCTGGAGCATCAAGGACTATGGCCACAAGTTAAATGAGGGCAGGGACACCTTCACTGCATACTTAGTGAACAAGCGCTTCATGTCTGCATTTGGGCTCAGACACGAGACAACTTAGAGTAGGTGGGCTGGGATGTAAGTTCTGACTTCTACTCACCTGGACTCACCTGGAAATCAATAACTTCTCGTGTGTGTGTGTGTGTGTGTGTGTGTGTGTGTGTGTGTGTGTGTTTAATATAATGGATTCTCAATGGACACATAGTACTCACTCATAGAAGCCGCTTTCTCCTGGTACGTGTTGGAAATTTCTGGCTGTAGCAGTTTAGCATTCTGGGGTTCTCCTGTGGTGACTGGCTAGTTAATATTTCTTCCCAAGAGCTGTGAGGCTCTGTGGCCTGTATCTCCTGGTGGTGCCAGGAGGCCTTGTTTGCATCTCTGGCTTTTGTTAGCAAAGGATGGCTGGTGGTCAGGGTCTACCTGAACAGTGGCTCTGCCGAGCAGTCCCTGAAATCTGTGACATTTTCAACGTTTCCAAATACCTTTTTGCTTTCATGGTTTTCTCTGTCAAGCATCAGGTAAGCAGTGCTTACTTCCAAAGACAGCAAAGTAATAACTCTAGAGCTTTGGCACCGGCTGCTCCCTAATTGCTCGGTCGGTCTTTTGCCATGCGGATAGCAGTCCAAAGAGCCGGCAGCAGTCTCCCCCAGGTCAGCCACTGTCTTATCTGGAGCTGTTTGATTCGAGATTTTTCTGCTCCAGATTTCCTTTCTATAAAAAGGAGCCAGGGGTAGCACAGTGAGTAGGGTGTTTGCCTTGCATCCGGCTGACCCAGGTTTGATTCCCCGCATCCCGTATGGTCCCCTGACCACTGCTAGGAGTAGTTCTGAGTGCATGAGCCAGGAGTAACCCCTGTGCATTGCTGGGTGTCACCCCCCCAAAAAAAGGGGGAGCCAAAGGTATCCCTTACATTACAGGATTGTGGAGAGGATTACTTGTCTATATAAATGTGGTAAGCATCAACAAGTATTAATTATTAGCTGTTGCTGGCCTTCTCAGGAAGTGCTTCTCCATTGTGAAATCTGCAGCAGACCTCATTTGTCAGCTTGATCTCGGGGACACATTAGCCATCAGCTGCATCTGTCAGATGATGGAGGCTAGGCCCAGGCCCTGTGTTGAGAAATCACATTTTGATTTGAGTTGACTGAGAACCTGGGTCCTGCTGAATTGTTGGGTTGATTGCAGGCCAGCTAGGGGATGTCCTGTGCCACCCCCCTACCCCCCTGTGGCAGACAGCACATGGCCCCTGGTGTCAGTTCTGGCAGTTTCTCGAACTGCTTCTGTGGATGCCGAGAAGAGGCTTTCATACATTTAGAGACCCCATTCAAACATGATTTCAGGATCTGATGTTGATCCTTTAAAACACTTTGGTATAGAGAAAAAAAAATTTTTTTAAAGTATGAATGTTGAAGGGTCTAATTCCTAGCACAGTGCTTGGAGGCATTCGGCAAAGGTTTGGGCCACTTGTGAAGAAGTCATCTGGTTCCTTGACTTTGTGAATTCTCTCGTCATTATTGCTATATGATAATTTTATTTGTTTATTCAAGAAGCATTCATTGGCTTCTCAGTATTGTTGGGCACTATTCTGAATGTTGGTGATTTTTTTTTTTATTAATGAATCACCATGAGGTACAGTTAGAGACTTACAAACTTCCGTGCTTACATTTCAGTCATACAACGATCTAGCACCCATCCCTCCACCAGTGCCCATTCTCCACCACCAATATTCCCAGTATCTCTCCCACCCTCCCACCCTCCCACACATCCACCCCCACCTCTATGGCAAGCACATTCCGTTTTGCTCTCTCTCTCTCTCCTTTTGGGTGTTGTGGTTTGTAATTTTATTAATGTATTAAGTTGCCATCATGTTCAGTCTAGAGTCTACTTTTAGCACTCATCTCCCATCCTGAGCGGGCCCTCCTAGCATCCTTTACTTGGTGGTCCCTTCTCTGTCTCAGCTGCCTTTTCTCCCCTGCAGTAAGACCGGCTTCCAAGCCATGGAGCAATGCTTATTTCTACGATCCTTGGGTGTTAGTCTCCCATTCTGTTACTTTATATTCCACAAATGAATGTTGGGAATATAGCAGTGAACCAGACAGACAAACATCCCTGTTTGAAGCACCTCTACAGTGGGCCCTCATGGATTTGCCATCCACTCCATGTTGATGCTACTTCATGCTAATGACCCCTCTGCCCTCTCCTTGGACTCCAGGCTGAGAAGGACTCTGCCAGCACAGATCCCTACCATTGCCTCGCCGACTTCATCGCTCCCCTGCACTCTGGCGTCCATGACTACCTGGGCCTGTTTGCTGTCGCCTGCTTTGGGGTGGAGGAGCTGAGTCAGGCCTATGAGGAGGAGTGTGATGTCTACAGCAGTATCATGGCCAAAGCGCTGGGGGACCGGCTGGCTGAGGTAAAGCAGTGGAACAACGAGGTCAGAACCCAGTGGGTGGGGGAGTCCCTGAGAGGCACCAGAAGGCCACACCCCCTCGGATCGTGTCTCTCTCCTAGCCTGTGTGGAACAAAGCTGGCGCTGAACAGCACACAAACTTTCTTTCTTTCTTTCTTTCTTTTTATTTTTACTTTATAGGGTGGTTCACAATATTTGATTAACAGTTAATATTCAAACACCAATCCCATCAACATTACACTTTCCCACCCCCAAATTTGGGATGTTTCTATCCCTAGCCCCAATCACTGTCCCAAAGCACAGCTGAAATGATATATTTTGTATTGTCTGTCATGGAAAACTGCTGAAAATGCTACAAAAAAATATCCATAGAGGAGATAGTGTGAAGATTGTTCTATTTTGTCAGGGGCCATTAAGACATTCTTTAGAGTATCACTAATATGTTAAAGGTTAAGTGATGCGAGCTTTCATATACATATGTATATCTGAAACTATGTATACATATATGTATGTATGTATTTTCCTCTATGATTTGTTGCCTACTATTTGAACCCCATCAAGTGTGGTGTGGTACTTATGGAAAATGAGTAGAGTATCTTATGATGTGTCACACAGCCGCAAATGTGGCTGCACGGTCCATGAGTATTTTCACTTGTACTTAAGGCTCAGCACGAACCTATGTGGAATGACCTTGAGCATGGCGGCAGTTGGATTGTGGAGGTTTTCAGCTGCCAGGGCTGGGTCCCTCGGGGCAGACAGGGCTCTCACCCATCCCCCTCTGGGGCACCCTGAGTGAAACAGCCTGGCACGGAGTAGCACACGTACTTTCATGCCACCACATATTCCTTAATTGTTCGCACGTCATCTCTCGGGCAAACAACCACAACCACAGCAACAACAAAACAATCCTTCACAGTGCCATAGCGTTAGTTACCCTTACAACCTTGACTTCTTTGCCTCAGTTTCTTCTGGATATCTTGTTGTGATAGGAGGTTTTCCTGGGGAGCCCCCAAAATAAGAATCCTATTTCTGTTTCAGAGCTCCCTGTTTGAAGTTTGTATTTTCTGTAGAATCCTCATCTTCCTTTATGTGGACTGGACAGGGGTGCTGTCCCTTTTTCCTCAGTGTTTTAACAGTAGAACTAGCTTTTCTGTGATTGGTTGGTTGGGTCCTAGGGATACTCCTGGACACTGCTGGGAAGCTACTCCTGGGAGTGCTTAGGGGACCATGTCGTGCTGGAGGCTGAACCCAGGGTTCCCGCATGCAAAGCGTGTGCCCTTGGAACCATCTTCCTAACCTGACCTAGCAGCTTTAGTGCTTCCAGTTCCTCTTTCTGACTGCTCTCGAACTATCAGGGAAATGACTCCATTCCAGGGCGTGGAACGCTCAGGTTGAGACGTCAGAGCCCAGGTCAGGACCAAAATTGAGTGGCAGAGCAACTGATGAAACTACAAGTGAGCTGAGAGTCCGTCCTGCCCCTCTAGCCCAGAATTTCCCTGTCTGTAGCTTCAGTGCGGAGGGTGCTATGGATTTGCTTTGGCTTAGAGTGTGGCAGGGGCACCCATCCTGGGGGCTCTGATTTCTCTGCCTAACCAGCACATCTGCTTCGGGGCTCCCAGGCCTTTGCAGAGGAACTGCATGAAAGGGTGCGCAGAGAGCTGTGGGCATACTGTGGCACTGAGAGCCTGGACATGTCAGATCTGCGAAGGCTGCGCTACGAGGGCATCCGCCCGGCACCCGGCTACCCCAGCCAGCCTGACCACACTGAGAAGCTCACCATGTGGAGACTCGCCGACATCGAACGCTGCACAGGTTTGCCCAGAGGGGAAGCACCTCTCCCTCTCCCTCCCTCCCGCCCTCTCCCCCTTCCTCTCTCTCCCTCCTTCTCTCACTCCCTTTCTCCTTTCCTCCCTCCCTCTCTCTCTCCCACCTTCTCACCCTCCCTCTCTTCCTCCCTCTCTCCTTTCCTCCTCCCTCCCTCTCCTCCCTACTTCCCTCCCTCTTCCCTTCCTCCTTCCTTCCTTCTCTATCTCCCTCCCTCTCTCCATTTTCCCCTCCCTCCCTTTCTCTCTCCCTCTACCTCTCTCTCTTTCTTTCTCTCTCTCTCTCGTTCTCTCTTTCCCTCTCTCTCTAAATAGACTTTTATAACCATATGGCACATATGGTTACATGTAAAAATATGCAAAGGTGCATACTGAAGTCACCTCCCATCTTTTTTTACAGTTAGCTCTTTATTCTAGAATTTTCCTGAGCATAGTCTCATATCACATTTTCAGACTCACTCATTTTCATTATTTTTTTCTCCTGCCCTATAACAGATGGAAAGTTAGCCTACTCATGGTACCCCACTGCTCGCCAGCCCCGTTTTCTTATTCTTGATGCATTGCTGACTTTCTCCATCAGTGCCTCTGTAATCTTCAGTTACTTGCTTCTTCCTTACAGATGCCATCTCTGGCCACTGACGCTCACAGAACCGTCATTCTCGTTCATTCTGTTCTAGCTCGACTTTTGCGCCATTGTTAGCATTTGTGCTCTTATGTAATCATAGTTCTCTCTTCTGCTTCATCTGTGGGCTGGTTCTAATAGTTGCAGATCAGAAATTGGCACATGTCCTTTTGAGACAGAAGGTACGGGCACTCAGCCTCCACTTCCTTGGCCTAGAGCAAAATCAGTCACAGTTCTGGCTGTTGCCTCATCATGTCCAAAATGCTGATACGAGACGGGAGTGCAAAATTCCTGCCATTCAGGTGACCCAGACTAAGCCCACAATTTGCAGGGGACTTCATCCAAAGCGTGTCTCCAGTGCTGGTGAAAGGAGGGAATCTAGATGTCAGGGGGCACTGGGAGGCTGTTAAATGTGGCTTATTGGGAACAGCACAGACTCTGAGCACCAGGAGACGTTGATTTGATTTCGTTTCTTCCATCAGCTAAGAGGGTGACCTTCAACAGAGCTATTAAACTTTTTTTTTTTTGCTTATTTTTTTGGTCACACCCAGCGATGCTAAGGGGTTACTCCTGGCTCTGCACTCAGGAATTACTCCTGGCAGTGCTCAGAGGACCATATGGGATGCTGGGAATCAAACCAGGGTTGGCCGCGTGCAAGGCAAATGCCCTACCCACTGTGCTATTGCTCCAGCCCCAGAGCTGTTAAACTTTGTGCCACTGTTTCCTTGTCCATAAAATGAATGACCTAGATAGCCTGATGTTTCCCATGAGTTCTGAGCTCCTGAGCATTGTTTCTCTTGAAATCTTACTGTAGGCTCATTCTTCACAGGAGTCTGGCTTTGGGTCATTTCTGGTGGCATTGGTCCTGTAGGAACTATTGGAGGATTATTCAGATAGTTACTTCAACTCTTGACTTGTGCTCTAAGACCCAGGCTTGGGAACAGCAGTGGCCTCTCAATTGAATCATCTTGGGGAACTATGGATAGAATGTTGAATGTCTTTTCTATTTTTTTTTCTTTTTGGGTCACACCTGGCGATGCTCAGGGGTTACTCCTGGCTCTGCACTCAGGAATTACTCCTGGTGGTGCCCGGGGGACCATCTGGGATGCTGGGGATTGAACCCATGTCGGCCGCGTGCAAGGCAAACGCCCTACCTGCTGTGCTATCACTCCAGCCCAAAGAGTGCGTTTTCCAGAGCAGAAGAGATTTGCTTGTCCTGAACTTGTTCCACCAGGGACAAGTTGCTGAACTAATCTGGTCACAGCTTTTGTGCTGTGCTCCAGTCACATAAAAAGCCTAAGGCTACTTCCATTCTTGTTCAGCAGAAGTTTACTGGGTGTCTGTTAGCTGGCCAAGTTCTGCTATAGGCACTGAGTAAATGAATATTTCCTTGCATTGGCTCTCTGTAGGTATTAAGTTAACAGAATCGTTAGCAATGACACCTGCTTCAGCAGTATCCGGCCTTTACTTCTCCAATTCGAAGTCCAAATATTTCGCTGTGGGAAAAATTTCCAAGGATCAGGTAAGTTAGCTTGTTCATTGTGCATAGCTTCTCTCTGTTACTTGTCTTGTTGTAAATGGAATTGTGAAACTTAGTTGCTTTATATGTGAGTAAAAATAAAATGAAAGGGAGAGGATGAAGAAATGTACTTTAATTAATATATTAATTAGATTTCAATCCATCACCCCAGTTCTGACCTTTCCACTTACATATAGACCATTCACACACCTATGTATAAGCTTGAGCTATTTTTCTATATATTATATTCTGTCTAAAGAAAAAGGCAACAAAGTGAATAAATATTTCCCTCCATTTACCGCATTACATTTCTGCGAAGACAAGAAATGGAAGGTCCCCGAGAACATTTCTTGGCAAATCCAGTGGAAATTTCAGTTTGAAAAGTCTGAGCCTTGTGGTTTAATGACTTGCTTTTCGTCTTTTGCAGATTGAGGACTATGCATTGAGGAAGAACATGTCTGTTGCCGAGGTTGAAAAATGGCTGGGCCCCATTTTGGGATATGATGCAGACTAACATTTTCTTTCAGTCTCATCTGAACTTGGCTGTTTCTCAAGGAAATGATGTCCAACCGTGCCTTAAAAGCAGCAACACACCCGCCTGCACCGGACTGGCATTTGCCTGCCTTCCAGTTTTGGAGCAGACTCTGGTGTAACTGTGTAGAGGAAGAGGCTGTCCTGGGGCTCTTGGGGGGCCGGGCCCGATACGCAGCTGTCTTTTCAGAGGACCTTGAGTGAAAAGCAGCAGACTGAACTCTGGTCGGTATCTGGAGCCCTCCCAGGTCTGGGACCAAGTGCAGAAAGAGGTCTTTTACATTTCAGAGCAAGTTAGCTTGTGTCTTTCCATTTTTGCCTTGGATTTAGGAGGCCACTTTCTCTTTCTTTCTTTTGCTTTCGTTTGGGGGGGGAGGGGCAGGGAGGATGGGAGGACAGGTCTACATACAGCTGTTCCCAGGGCTTAGTCCTGGTTCTGCACTCAGGTGTCACTCGTGGCAATGCTCAGGGAACCAACCATATGAGGTCCTGGGGATCAAACCTGAGTCAGCCACATGCAAGGCAAGGGTCTTACCTGCTTGTGCTATCACTCCAGCCGCTAAATCTCTCTCTCTCTCTCTCTCTCTCTCTCTCTCTCTCTCTCTCTCTCTCTCTCTCTCTCTCTCTCGGGCGGGGGGAAGCCTAATACTCAGTTGAAAAGAGAATGTGGCTCTGTGGCAAAGGGATGCTGTGAGAATAGGAACATTTCAGTCTAAACACTTCAAACAGCCAGTTCTGACAAGGCAGGAAATGTGTAGCTCTGCCCTCTCTCTGGAAGACCTCATTTTCAAAGGCTCGATTTAATGGTTACACAATCTCCCGTTGGCGAAAGGCTTGCTGTCACTGCTGCGTGTCAGAAATATCAAGCTGCTCGCCCCACTATGGTCAAATACAGTAATGTTTCTTCAAGCACTTGTGTCCTCTCGTAATTTCATATTCCCTTGCATAAAGGGAACCGTGGAGGTGGGGAGAGGCCAGCGGTGGTAGTGCACATGTTTCAATTTTATTTATTGAATCACTATGAGAGCAGTTACAAAGCTTTCAGGTTTAAGTCTCGGTCATACAATGAAACACCCGTACCTTCACCAGTGCCCATTCTCCATCACCAAAAACCCCAGTATACCCTCATCCCACATCCTCCCCCTACCTGTGGAGCAGATGATTTCCACATTACTCTCTACTTTGATTGCATTCAATATTTCAACACCAGACCCACCATTATTATTTGGGATTTTTACCCCAACACTCAGATCTGCCGAAAAGGCAACAGTAGACAATTTGTTTTCTATTGCTGGTCATGAATAATATATGATGTCACATGGTTGCAGTAGTGGCCACGTGATTCTGAAATTCCAAAACTGTAACAATTAAATCTGGAGGGATTTCTGCCAAAACCTGCTGGGTTCTGACATTTGTTCCTGAGTCTCTAGGATCATGGCTGTTAAGCAGCTTGATCAGGAGCCAGAGAGGCCATTTGTGGGCAGCGACTCAGGCTCTCGTTGGGGCTGGGAGGAAAGGGCCAGCTCCACCCTCATCCTGTGAGGCCCCGCATGTCTTGACACTGCGGGCCCAAACTGACTGTCCAATGGCCTCTGGAAGATGGTAGCCACTGAGCCGCCTAGTGGGAACAGGCAGAGGGACAGTACCCTTTCCCCCCTGGGGTGGCCTGGCAACAGTAACCTACTGTGGAGTCCGGACACATTTCTGCCAAAAGCTGCTGGGTTTTGAGATTTGTTTCTGAGTCTCTGGGATCATGGCCGTTGAGCAGTTCGATCAGGAACCAGAGAGGCCATGCCCCCAATTATATAGCTGAGCCTCCAATTATATAGTGGGTGTGTCTCCCACTACCTAACTTCTGGCCTTTTACTGTCTTGTAAACTTGGCCCCAATTTTTTGTGGTCTGGCCAAATGCACAGCAGCAATTTTGGGGTATCTGAAAGTCTGAAGGCACCATCAGGCTGCTGATGCACTCGCCTCACAGGTACAGATCAACCTGTTGGCGGCACCATAACCCCTGCCCTTTGTTTTCTGTGTGGGAACCACACCCCACCCTCACCTTTCAGGATTAAAACTGACCTTGGCAGTAGTTGGTAGATAGAACTGAGCAGCAGTTCTATCGAACTTATCCTCAAGCACATTGGAAGGTGAAAGAGGGAAAAAACTGACCTAAAGAAATGATAATTGGGTCTGGAGTGATAGCACAGCGGGTAAGGCGTTTGCCTTGCACGCAGCCAACATGACCGACACAGGTTCGATTCCCAGCACCCCATATGGTCCCCTGAGCACCGCCAGGAGCAATTCCTGAGTGCATAAGCCAGGAGTAACCCCGGGTGTGACCCAAAAAGCAAAAAAAAAAAGAATGATAACTTTACATTTCAAAAATATATGTATGTGATTACTTACAGGCTTCACTTGCCTTTCAGAGGAAGAGAACTGTGCTTTCTTTAGGTACATTTATTTTATGCCAGATCGAGACAGAGATTCTTTTTCCTGAGATACTTTTTTGGAAGTCTTATTTTCTGTCCCACAGAAGGTATGTTTTTGAAGGAAGCATAACCTTCTTCAAATATTTTAATGAGTTTTCTCTGTTTTACAGTTGCCAAGAGCCTCATGGTTTTATTATTTATTATTCCTTCTCCCAACTGCTTATGTGATAGAATGACTTCCTAAGATATATTGTTGATCTAATCTCATGATGGATACCTTTCTTGTGTGTGTGTGTGTGTGTGTGTGTGTGTGTGTGTGTGTGTGTATGTAATACAGGCTCTTCACCCAGGAGTTACTCCTGGTGGAGCTCAGGAGACCATATGGGATGCTGGGAATCAAACTCGGGTCAGCCTTGTGCAAGGCAAAAACTCTACCTGCTGTGCTATTGCTCCAGCCCCACCTTTCTTTTAACCAAAGACGAAGCAGCTTTTGCAAATTCAAGTGCCTGTATGTTCGCTGGTTAACAGACTACAACTGGAAACCCCTTCCTTATTGCATGCAGATAGTTCCAGAGACAGAGAGGTCATCACTTGAAGCCCGGGCTCTGTGCTCTGTCCATTCCTGAACATGCTCACTTCCAGTCGCCATGCCTGTGGCTCAGACATGAGCTCACTCATTATTTTCACGAAAGAGCTCCTGTTTACCTTTCCCGCTTAAAGACCAGCACTTCTACAGAACCTTCCTCACTCTGCGGCTTTTTCAGCTATTCTGTGCCGAGGAGGCTGGTTTGTGGGCTGGTGGTAGAAATTAGGTTTTTTCATATCTCCTTTCAGATATTCTGCCATCATTCTCCGTTCAGAGCTAAGCCCCTTTTTAGAGAAGTCTGCCTTTCAGTTTCTCTCAGATATGCCTTTTACAAATACTTGAGTGTGTGCCAGATGCCATCTCTTCTTAACTGAATGAAGTTGGATATTTTTCACTCATCTCTGTCATTGCTAACATCTAAATTGTTAGGTTCAGTGGCTTTTGAAGGACTTTGCTTCTGTATGGATTTGGACACTATAGATTATTTCCTTGAAACACTTTCCTGGGTGGGGAGACAGTAGAGCAATTAGGGTGTATGCCTGAACTGGATTCGATCCCCAGCACCTGTGGCCACTAACAGTCATGATATGCTGTCTGTCCCTGAGGCTCTCAGGTGTTTCCAGGGTGACCCTGTCGTGCTTGGCACTGCAGGGCCTGTGCAGCATTTCATCCTCAGGCCTTTGCATTGAACCACTTGCCCAGTTGGCTGAGAATTACTAAAACTGGTCCCCAGGCATCCTGAGCACCAGTTGGGAGCCTCAAAAAAAAAGATATCCCTTTTTGTGGTTCACCCTTAATGATATTTTTCTGTATATCTGATCATTTCTCACTATATTTAGTGTTCTCTCCTAGAGCCCATTTAAATCCTCAAAAAATACAGAGTTTCCATGGGCAGCCTTACTGAATAAATATCTGGCAGATATTTTCACCCAAACTTTTTGTCCTTAAAACATAGCGTCTTTACAAAGTCATGAAATTTACATACAAGTGGTACTACATGGAAAGTATCATGTTAAGCGAAATGACTCAGAAAGAAAGGGATAGACATAGAAAGATTGCATTCATCTGGGGAACATAAAGTAACAAAATAGGAGACCCAAGAGTGGCCGAGATTAGTACCAGGAGGTTTGCTCCATGGCTTGGAGACCAGCCACACATGCTAGGGGAAAAGGGAGCTCAGATAGAGAAGGGAACACCAGATAAAGGTGTTCTCCAGGATGGGAGAAGCATGCTGAAAGTAGACTCTAGACCAAACATGATTGTTACCCATTGCCTCTTTTGCAAACCACAACACCCAATAAGAGAGAGAACAAAAAGGAATGCCCTGCCACAGAGGCAGGGTGGGAGGGATACTGGGATTCATGGTGGTGGGAAATGGGCACTGGTGGAGGGATGGGTATTTGGTCATTGTATAATTGAAACCCAAGCACAAAAATGTGTAAGTCTGCAACTGTACCTCATGATGTCTCACTAATAAAAATTAAAAAAACATAGCATCTTTATCGCTCCAGCCTATATATATATATATATATATATAGAGAGAGAGAGAGAGAGAGAGAGAGAGAGAGAGAGAGACTACATATATAGACTATATAGACTGTATATGGACTACTCTTTATAAAAAAGTTATCAAAACATTATAGTTTAAGTGACATGGTTATAATTGACACCCACCAACTCCCATGTAACACCATCAATGGCCAGGATCCAGAGACTCTAAAACCAAGCTCCCGGAAGAGAACAAGGCAGTCTCCTGCCCCCGCGCCTGGCTGTCCTCACTGGGGCCCCTTGGAGGAGGGCAGCCGTGTGACCTCTTATTCTCTACTTCTCACTCTCAGAGAGCCCAGAAGGCTACTGGGAGTATCATACCCACCTATATGCCTGATTAGGAACACCTGTAAAGGTGATTACAGGCTGCCCCAAAAGCTTCCATCCCTCTCGTCTCCTGGCAAGCTACCGAGAGTATCCCGCCCGCATGGCAGAGCCTGACAAGCTACCCGTAGCATACTAGATATGTCAAAAACAGTAACAATGAATGGTCCTCATTCCCCTGATCCTGAAGGAGCCCCCATATGTCATCGGGCTACACTCGCACATGACAGGGACAAATGGAGACATTACTGGGCCCGCTTGAGCGAATCGATGAACAACAGTGATATATCTATATTATTATTATTATTATTATTATTATATCACTAGCACTGTCATCCTGTTAATCACCAATTTGTTCGAGTGGATGC